GCCCTTTGTGCAGTTGAAAACACATCAAAACGACCTATGGAGTAAGTAAATAACAAAATCATTGACGAAGTAAGGAAAGGAAAGGAAAGTGAAAGGAAAGGGAACTACCTGTCACTGTGACACAGCATATAACCAAATGTGACCTCTACATTTTACCCATCACCAATTATTCCGAAAATGTAGGTCCTAACTCCCCTACACTAGGAGGAATCACAAGAATGTTACTTTTTTTTACAATATAATGATTTAATTTTTTTTAACATTCATTTTAATATAGTGAATTTCAATTTAATCAATGCCTGTTTAGCACTAAAGATATACATTTTACATGGAAACCCAGGGTTCACCTCCTGGGCAAGATTGAATCCCAGTTAGGGTGGTTAGTACCTTCCAGGAAGGTTTAGGGGGGTTGGTGTGGTGCAATGTGATTTGGGCAGCAGTCTCCCGCGACCCAGTAACGGATAAGCGGGGAAAAGGGATGGATTTTACACGCATGTCATTTGGAATATGTGGCTTTGCTATCTTTGGTTACTAACTAATCGGAAAAGAAATTTGAGATACATATTTTGTATAAAGATTTTTTCAACCATATCGCCCAGCCTTAACTCTGGGTATAAGTTCTGTCAATTACAATTTAAAAGACTATTTAACTCGACCGATTTGTAAAGAAATATATTTTTAGCTACTGTCTCAAACAATTACAAAAGTTAGGTTACTCCAACAAAAAAAAAATATTGTTGTTATCTTATATGACAAGTTGGCAAAAGCCAGGCCTTGTGGTAATTGGTGGTATTGCAACATAATTTGCTAACCACTGACCAATAGCTTAAGGGATTTCCCCCAGCTTTGACCACAATAGTGTCAGGTTTGCCATCAAGGCCATTGTAATCACTGAATATCCATCCATCCAGTGGTGAGTCCACTGGAAGGTACCAACCGCCCTAACCGGGATTCGAGCTTGCCCAGGAGGTGAACCCTGGGGTTCCACACCAATGACAGAGACATTGCTTCTGGGCCAAAGCGCCACATCACTGAATATTTTAGTGAGGAAATATTTCAGAAAAGTGAGTTAGAGTAAGACATAAACTTTCATTCATCACTGAATATTTTAGGAAAATTGAGTTAGAGTAAGACATAAACTTTCATTAAACACCCATAAAACATGGGAAACCTGGTCTCTTGGTTCTAATATACAGGCACAATGGTGAAAGAAAGAGGCTGCTGTTCCCTCTTGTATTTACTTTTAGTGGAATTCCAGTTATGTCCACTGCCAGCTAGCTAGCAGCCAGTGCTGCAATGTGCACTTTCTTCATCGATCCACTTTTATCAGCATGTTCCCAACAAGTCAGCGCGCTGCACCAGTCATTAGCAATGACTGCAACTTTTAGAAAGGTCTTCAGAGACAATGGCTACTCCCCACCATACATCCCTATAACAACTTTAGGGAATCTTTATTTTTAATACTTCCTGACTGATGGTCTACAATTCAAACAAGTCATACTTTAGTAAGCTATTGATTACTTTAGCAGACAATTAATCTATCAAATATTCTCTTCAAATTGATTCAATTAAACAACCAAGTGAAAAGGGGATTTTAAGAAAAAAAGGTCATAAAGACAAGATGATAATAATTACGTCCCTGTATATTAAGTATAAAAGTTTAAGGATGTATAAAAATATCCATATAGAAATAGTGAAAGTAACAACAGTATACAAGGGTATATAAAAATATCTGTAGATATATATTGAAATAACAATAAGAGGAAGTATATAAGATAAATAGGAATGTATTGTATTTTCTTTTTCTTTTATTTTAACTGTTCCCAAACTCTGGACATTTCCTTCTTTTTGGGCCGTGTCTCTTCTAATATTCACTCATGTGCAGCTCAGTGTCACCTGCGTTACAATGAGCATCTGCGTGAAACTGTGTGAAAACAGTGGAATCCATGCTTAGCGGCGGCAGAATTGTTGAAACAAAACTTTGATTAAGGACAATCATAAGCAAATGATTTTCTCAATCGATTGGAGTCGATCGATGATCATGAATTAATTCTGCTCAAATCGTATCTTGTTAAAAGTCGTTCTTCCAGTTCTTTTTTTTTTTTTCCCCTTGTGTTCAGTTATAAAAACACCTTAGCTATCATATCCAGCAGAGTTCCCATCACGTTTCCAACACATTTCTTTCTGCCTGGCTGCAGAGGGCTGATGTACAAACAGACAAAGAAAGAAGAACTTACAACACAACTGAGGAACTGACACCACAATCGGGGGGTCAACACAAGCCTCAGAATATTTTGTTCTGCAAACAGTACATCCTTGTGAATATTTTCACTTCAATACCCTGCAGATCAAGATGCTCACCACACCTGTGTATTAAACCTGCCAATGCAATGACTCACTTATACCTCGGCACATTATTATTTATGTGCCCAACAAGGCGAATTTTAAAAAACGCCCCACTCCCTGTCGCTGGTGTTTCCACTCACCTCCTCCACACCCCCTCTGCTGCCACAACAGGATATTGCTCAGTGGCACAACAGAACCATGGCATTATGCAGACAAGTACGGGCAGGCCATAGACAAAGGTTCAAAGTAATATCAGAAAACAACAGGCCAATGGAGGGAGGAGAATAATACCAATGCAGTGCACAGACATGGGGATTGTGCTGGCCTTGACCTGCTTCGTAAACAAATATCAGGTTTTATTTATGCCAGTATTTTTGCTTAGTAATAGTCTTCACAAAGAGTCTCACCAAGGGGCAGCCGGAAAGGGAAATAAAGATAAGAAAAACGGTGAAGGAGTGAACAGATGCTGGAGGGCAATTGGTGAAAGGGGTGCTCGCTTGTCTGATGGTGTCTCAAAAAAAAAAAAAAAAAAACAGTTGGTGCTTTATACAAAAAGAAAAAAGAGAGTCTTATTGACTATGGGAGACAGAATTCTTTTGACATGTTGAACAGGGCCTGAATTAAGTGTTTCTTTATCCCATTTGACAACGTGGCAGCATTGTAGAAAAATACATAATGGGGAAAAAAAGTTGAAATCTGAAAAGTTTGCATATCACAGCTCAACTACAAACATGGCAATAAACTAACATGTCTGCGCAAGGCTGCTCCATCAGAATTATCATATTTCAATCTTTTAGTCTAATAATCGTTTTATAACTGCAGGTGCATCAGCCTGCAGCAACAGATACACCCAGACCCCACTGCTCTATCATCCGACTGCTGATTAATAAATGTTGCTGATATCACTAGACAACATATTTATATATATTCTTGGAAATCATGGGCACTGTCAGAGCCAACAGATTTGAGCGTGTAAGTCATTTTAGTGCTAAATAATTTGGTCATAACTGATTTAATGTCGATTTATAACATATGAAGGGGGACAAGGCTCCCAAGCACTGCACGCCCCTCCAACCGAGTTCAGTCAACCAAGACTTTCTTTGGTTGATTACAGCCCTAGTTGGGAGTGTTACTTTATATATAAAACACAATACTAAAAAGTATATTGTGTACGTGCAGGAATATAATGATGATCTTCTAGAAACACTTATAAAAGTATATTGTGTATGTGCTGGAATATAATGATGATCTTCTAGTTACAGTATATTGTGTATGTGCAGGAATATAATGATGATCTTCTAGTTACAATTAACTAACAAAACATTTTTTTCACTCATTACATATTTTGGGCCTGTAGTTGAAAACAACACCTAGTGTTTAGTAGAGTATTTCATTGTTCTGCTTGTAACTGTCGCATAGATACATTTAGCCAAATGATTTGCAGTAAATAAATAATGTAATTTAGACCAATTAAGTGGAGTTAGATAATTTTCCTTGGTCCAATTGATGATCTGTAACGGCCAACTAATGTGCTGCCATGTATCTGTGGTTGGGATTCACTGATTTAAAGAACAGTAATAGATAGAATATTACAGTGAACTTGCAACAATTTAAAAGCTGCAGCAATCATGATTAGCTATCAGGCAGTGAACTTGCAACACTTTAAAAGCTGCAGCAATCATGATTAGCCCTGAAAAACTGGGTATTTCAGCTCTAGTGACAAGGATATTTTTCCCCAGTGTTAGTTGTTAGCAGCAGCAAATATCAGTTGTTATTCTTCCCTTTATCTAGAAGCATCTTGTGTCATGATAAGCAGAGGAAAATTGGGAGTGTTTTAGACTCAGATCGACAGAGAGAGCTGACAGGCATTTTATTCAACACATCACAAGAATGACAATAACAGAGGAGATGCTGCTGTAAAACTCAGGTGGTTGGATGTTGGTTAGCTATAAGCTCCGTCTGAACTAAGAAAGGCAGTTGTTTTCCTTCAAAAAGTGGGACAGAGAGCTTTATCAGCAGCACATCTCTCATTTAGATTTAATGACAAGGTCCAAAGACTATGTGTTTACAGTGGAGGCCTGCCCACCTCCCATCAAACAGCATCAAAGTCCAAAGTGTGAGTTATGACAGTGCCAGATTGGAAAGCTTGTTCTAAAATAATTCTGATTTTTTTGCAGAATCTCATGGCATTTCTATGCCATCAAAAACATATTTTGCCAACCTCTCTGCCTGTATTGCTGCCACAGCCTGTCTTCTACAGTCTGGAAATCACATGACAGTACTCCACTTGAAAAAGATAAGCATTTATATGGTTTCATCTCAAGTGCATGGACATGAGCTTGCTCCTTTCTTAGGCAATTACCCTCATTAAATACAACAGTGTAGCTTTGGATTTAATTAACCAGACCAATCCAATGTTTGATTTATAATTCTAATTGTAAGATCAAGTACCTTAACAGGGGAAACAGTTGTCTCCATTTTTAATATGGCCTTGTCAATAATCAGAGATCCACTTCGCAGCCTAATAGAACACCACTTCACTCTTAACTACACAAAAGCTGGTGTTAATGACTTTACCTTTTAATTTGCTCAGTTACATCCTGATGATTAAACACTTGCATTGAACACACACAGACACACAGCGAAGGACTTACTGTTGTTGGACTTGAGATCCCGGTGGATGACAGGGACGATGGCCTCACTGTGTAGATACAGCATCCCTTTGGCTATCTGCACGGCCCAGTTGACCAAGATGTGAGGCGGGATTCGACGGCCTGCCAGCGCCCGGCTAAGCGGCCCACCTGAGGCATACTCCATGATGAGGCACAAGTTGGGCTCCTGCAGGCAAACGCCCTTCAGGGCGATAATGTTCGGGTGATTGAGCATGGCGAACAGACGTGCCTCTTGCCTCACATTCTGAGCTGTCACACTGATGTCCTCATCCGGGTCCTGGCGGGCGGCCTTCACAGCTACCAGGCCGCCTCTCCATGTACCACGGTACACTTTCCCAAAACCACCAACACCGATGACCTCCTGAAGACTCAGCTCCCTGAAATCTACCAAGACTAACTCACCCACCATGGCCGGCCCAAGATCGCCAGCAACGTTGCTGACTGGTAGCTTCCCATAGCCACTTGGCTTGAAAGAGCCATAGTTGGAAGGGAAGATGCCGACCTTGTTGTTGACCTTCCCAGCCCACCATCCCTCATCTCCTGATATCTCAGAGTCCAGAGAGAGGACTTCCACCAGGTCCCCTTTACGCAACGTGAGCTCATCTTTACAGGACGCCTCGTAGTCGTACAAGGCCGTCCACACAGGATTGGCAAAGTTCCCTTTTTGTGATTGTTCCAAGTTTTTCCAGTTGGACAGTGGGCCACGACTGAATATGTTCTTCAGTGGCTCCATGGAGCCTCAAGCAGTTGTTTTAAATGGATCTGATTTAGCAGCCCAGGGGTTTGAAAATAAAGTACAAAGGAGTACTTTATTGCGCCTCGCTCCCTTTCCTGTCTTTCTTGTTGGTTCATCAGGGACCAGTGAAATGTATTCAAAAGACTGACCAACAACTTGGCTCCAGGAAAATACAAGCAAACAGTTCAGTATCTCTGGTTAGTCTTCACACGAGATGCAAAGGCCTACATTTGAAGATGCAGACACAGCCAACAGTCTCCTCTTCCTTGATTATATCCGAGTCTATCAAAGTTCAGAAAGGCAGTGCTGTCTCCACTGAATTTCTCCCTGTAAGTGATGTGGTGTGTGGTTTCCCAACACATGGTTTGAGCACAATATCATTCCACCGGCCTGTACTTGAGAGGTTTTCGAATCACCTCATTATGGGCGAACGGGCACTTTGCTTCCCTCATTCAAAATTGCCACCTGTTTAGTTGCGACTCTCAAAAGCCAAAGTTTAAAGACAAAAATAAAAACGGGCAGGAGATTGCTGTAGAATTACTTTAATTGTCGCAAGTGCAGCTCCTAAGTCCGGCTTCCCACAGCGTTTCGCAGTTCATTTTGAGTTTTATGTATTTTTAGCCATTAAGAGCTGTGGCCACTCCAAGCAGGAAGCGCAGAGGAGTGGGGAAGAATGGCAGGAAAGGAGCACTCAGTCCGGCCAACCAGTGTTTTACGACAAACTTTCAGAGCTGACCGCTACCATTATTAGACTCCAACGTCCAAATTAACACGCCGGGCCATAACTTTGAAATATTCCTGTAGGAAGTCCCGAGTGTCGCTGTGTGATACTGTCCATAATGACGGTCCTTATTAGAAGTAGTGACATGAATAAAACAGGATAAAACTACTTTTGGAACAGGAAGAGCTGTATCCAAAGCGGCTGGAGTTTACTTTCCACAGATAGGGGCCCGAGTAGAAACTCTTTCAAATAAATTCCATTAGTTTCCCACCGAATTTAAGCGCATGGCCTGCTCCAGCTCCAGCTCCGTGTTTCCGTCCTCACAGTCCGTGTTTAAACTCAGCAGCACCACAGACTTGTCGTCCTCAGTGCTCGCTCGCTCCACAGCACCTCGAACCACTCGTACGTGTGCGCTGACAGTCAGAGGGTGGGGCTTCAAAACTTTTTTTTCTCTCGTACTAACAGGAAAGAGTCAGATGACAGGCCCCAGTCACGCTATCCGTACTAACAGTCACCACAATTCCGGCAATACCTATCAAAATAAAACACAGGACCTGTTTTAGAGAAGCTGAAGAAAGTAAGAAATTGCACATTAAAAAGTAGAAGAAACGATCACGATTTAATTTTACAGCTAAAAAAACAGCAAAACGCAAACAAACACACAATTTATAGTTTAGAAGATCACAAATTTCCAGGTTTAATAAACAAGGTTGCTACAAATAAAACTGAAGGAACATTACCTGGAATACTGAAAAGCAGAGGTTAAAAAAAATGTAATAAATATTAAAAGAATTTGAAGGTTAAGTCATGACATTGACTGCGGTGGTCCAAGAGAATACTTACATTTAATTAGAAGGTTGTGAAAAACAAGAAGAATTTTGGCCTTGATATGAAATACTGAATTACTGCAGACCACAGTTTTCTAGAATATATGTTTAAGGCTTAAAACTAAAAGCAGATCTCACACATTCATTCCTGATACTGGGACACAGAGCAGATGTGATTGTTTATAGTGGGTCAACAGACCTTTAAAAATGAAGTGCTTTTTTATACCAATCCACAGTATTTAATACAGTAGCACTGGAAAACCTAGAGCTAACATTTTGGCATTTTGTTCCTAGACAAGCTCTTTTTACTTTTTATAAATCCACATGTTTATTTAATTATTTGTTTTATATCCAGACATCAAGAGCCACGACACAGGTAACAACTTAGCCAGGGAATTAAATTCCATGTTCATTTTTACTGATTTTAAATTTGCTGCAAGGGATATGTACTAAAAGAAAAAAAAATGTTAAAGGTTTTTTCACAATCATTTTCATTTTGCAAAACACTGTTGTATGCACATTTAATCAGACCCTTATTTTGAAATTCGTGCCAGATTTGTTTTTCTTTTTTATGCCTTCTTTCTTTGTCTGATGACTTCTTTCATCAGACAATTTAGTTCAAACCTTTCAATATGTTAAATATAGAGTATTTAACATTTTCATATCCTGCACCACCCTCACATACCTTTTGCTTATCTGGACCTTGTTTTAGTGGCGCTTTGGCCCAGAAGCAATGCCTCTGTCATTGGTGTGGAACACCAGGGTTCACCTCCTGGGCAAGATTGAATCCCAGTTAGGGTGGTTGGTACCTTCCAGTGGACTCACCACCTACAGGAAGGTTCACGATGTACAGGTACGGTGCAGTATGATTTGGGTGGCGGTCATGGAGACTGCTGCCCCTGCAACCTGGTAACGGATAAGCGGATGAAAATGGATGGATGGATGCTATTGTTTTCTCTAAATCCCCAAAGATACAGCCCCTTGCGCCCTTCACTCCTTACTTGCACACTTTGCTCCTAAAAGTACTCCTTACACCCTCTCTCACACCTGATACCTTTTCTACCAGAGCAAAACATTATTTTCTGGACAGGGAAAATATTAAACTCCAAGATCCTCTTAAGATCCAGTTTAAATATTCAAGGACTTCAGTTCATTATAATTGTCCCAAAGGCCTAAGAACAGAGAGTAAAGTAGTGCTGATGGGTTTCTGGGAGCAGAGATTTGTTCAGGATTTTCTTTTTTCTCCAGTGTGAAAGACAGATTTGAAGCTACAGTATTCTCCAAGCAGCACATTTCAAAAGCCAGAGCATGAGGCAGGTTTTCATGTACTCTGTTTAATGCCATGAGGGGCAACATTGAGGACTCAGAAGGAAGATCTAGGAGAAGAAGTATTAACAGAAATATGTCTGGGTTTTGAAGAGTTGCTGCACCATTTAACACCTGCACTGAAATAAGAGCAAATTCAAAGGTTTTACTTCACACATGATTCCTCCTTAACTTCCAACCTTCAATTTGACATTTTGAACAACTGCATTAAATTAAATCTTGTATATATTGGGGGGAAAGGAAGACTTGTGAAACTTGCATATGGAAGAATAATGAGTACAATTCAAAATTTATTTATTATTTTGTTTAAATTTTTTTTAAATTACCTTTTGTGGTGAATTTTTAATAGTGGTTTCTAATGTTATGCTTACTTTCACCTTTTTTTTTACTGAATCCTAATACAAAGTTAATCATGCAAGGGGCCAATATTTTCAGGCAAAACAGAATTTTTTTTTTTTTTGAACAATCTAGTAATGACATTGATTGAAACATAAATATCAAATTCAAACAGACAGCAACAACCTCAATGTTTTTTTAATCCAAATAAATTAAATGCCATGCATATGGACAGAAATACTATGCCTTAAAATACTAAAGTAAAAGAAAAAAATAAACTATTATTATTGACCAATCTATTACTGTTGCTGTGTATTGAGAAATTCCAGATTCTTTTTTATCCTTTGGTAAATCACTGACGTTCCTTTACATTTGCAATACAGTAATACCTTGAGATACGTGCGTCCTGTCATATGAGTATTCCGAGATGCGAGCCAGCCTTCGAGTTAATTTTTGCTTCGAGATACGAGTAAAGATTTGAGATACGAGCACGCTTACAGACGCCGACACTAGGTGGCCGAGCACATGGAGCAGCCCACGCTGCCTCACTTGTTCACTTCACATGTTCGTCGACTTCCGTACGCATCTCCCGCGAGTCTTCCGTATTGTGTTAGTAAGGATGGTAGTGAGGTGAAGAAACACATGATGACCAAGGAAATAAAGCATGAAATTGTCGATAAATAAGAGGGTGGTGCCCGCTAAGTAAGTTAAGTTCATTCTAAGTTTATGTAAGATACGTGTACGTGTAAGGTACGGTAGGAATCAAGAGTCTACTGTTATGACAAAAATATATTCTGTGTTATTATTCACCAGCTGACTACTGAAACTTACATAGTCAGTGAAAAAACACTGAAACAACCAGTGTTAGCCTGTGATGGGAAATCTTCTCATTATTGTTTCTCTGGTTCCTATAAGGCCTTGAAAAGTTCCTGTTAGGCCAGATACTCTCACAGGTAGGGATTGTAGTGAGGCTAACGTGCACTCATATTTTTGTATGCACACACAAATGTATCCAGCACACTATAAATGTATCCAGCACTTGTCTGCAAACTGGCGCTCTCGTACAGACAAGTGCCTGTGTTGCTCTCTGTAAGACCTGCGCCCAGGAATCCTTATATACTATATATATTTTTGTGTGTGTGTATGTTTCTATAGTAATTAAAAACATCTTTTTTCCATTGTTATGAGCACTAATAAGGGAGTTTTTTAGGGGGCCAGAACGAATTAATTTTTTTCTGTTATTTCTTATGGGAAAAAATGATTTGAGATACGAACACTTCAAGTTACGAGCTCAGTCCTGGAACGGATTATGCTCGTATCTCAAGGTTCCACTGCATTTGTTGTAGGCGAGTAACTAATAAATATTAGATGGTTACCTGTTTTTAGGTTAGAAAGTAGGTTTAAAATACCTGGGTTTTTTTTCATTTATTTATAACATACCTATTATTAATACTCATTGCATACATTTGTTCCCTTTTTTTTTTTTTTTTGCTTTTGCAGATAGGTCCATCAACAACTGACTTAAAAACAAATCACACAGACACTAATTAAACACAAATCAAAAATATTAAACATTAAATAAGTTGGCCTTGTGGACCTACCTGCAACAGGGATGTGGACTTCCACAAAAACTTTTTTCATGCTTGCAATAAAGTAAGTACACAGTGGAAGAATATAACACACATTGTTGTTATTCCTTACTTAAAGTTCCCTCAACGAAGGTTACCAGGAACCAGAGCTAAATTAAAAACATTTTTTGTACACCACTGAGAAAACATGTTTCTAAAAATCCACCTTCCAAGAAGCAAATGGATGCAAAGGAGAAACAGTTACAAACCTGCTAAGTGGATTAAAACGAATTAAAAGTAACTGTGTGAGACAAACCCTGGAGGACCTGCAGTCCTCGTAACAGCTATAGTTTATCATTAAAAAACAGGTTCAGGTGTGAAGTTAAGCAATTTAATTATTTTTCTCAGTCAACAGTGTGTTCACCTCCAATGATTATTGACGGTGACACACCCAAACATAAATATGGATAAATTAGATCATTAAAATTTGGTAAAAATCGTGCTAAAGAGTAAAATGTACCAACGTGGTACAAGGTGGTTTTTAATGTTTTTTGTTAAAGTTGTTAATAACTCTTTAAGAGTAGGAAAGTCTTTTTTTAGCATATAATAACAGTTAGCCCAGGCATGGGCAAACTACGGCTCGGGGGCCAGATGCAGCCCATTCATTATTATAATCTGACTTTCCAAACATGTCCAAATTATATAATATTTATTTATATTATTATTATACTTCAGCCTTTTCCTTACAATGCCAGCCTTTTCCCACTAAATGACATAGAAAAGTCCAAAAGCATTTTGGCATTTTAGCCTTTATGCCAGACTTTTACATGTCATTCATCTAGTTCACACGAATGCTCCATCCATCTGCTCCTGACCCGGGCCCCCGTCAAATTCTAGGCCTGCAAGCCAAAACGTTTGCCCACACCTGAGTTAGACACTTGTGTGGTAGTGTCAGATTTTATGCTTGGATTTTCAGTCCCTTCCACTGATAATCTAAGGAGTGAAACTCTGCTGTTTCTTATCCAAAGCCATTTAAATTCATTCAAAGGATGGTTTCATTTGTTTTTGTGCGTGTAGAGCACAAGAAGATATCTTTAGAGCATCACATGCTGGACCAAAGTTTTCACCTTACTGGGATTTTAAAAGGGTAACTTTGAATATATAAGTCCATTTTTTAAAGATACAGGGAGTCGTGGACTTACATCAGAATTCTGTTACACATAAGTCGGAAATCACATACTGTACATAAGCACCTATGTTACTCACCTATGCCAACATAGTGGCAACATCCTGTATTAATAATGTAAAAGTGAAGAATGTTCATGGGGGAATAACATAACCCTACATGTTGCCACCAACCCCACTGAGACAGAGCTAATGTTCCAATATGTGCTGCTGACCTAGTTTTTAGCCACACTGTAGTTAAGACTAGAAATGGGCAAGTACCGGGAACGGGAGGAGAAGTTTGTGAGTTGTAGCTGTAACAGCAGCTTGTTTATTAATATTGTGGGTTGTTTTTTTTTTAAAGTTTAAAAGATGTAAAAAAAGTTTCCTTCTGGTTTGTTGCTGTTGGCAGGGCATTGCAATATGATTGTTGCGCCTAGCCTCCTCTAATCCATTCACATTGTTTTCAACCCATATAGCAGTTTATGACTAATAAGCCATCTGTAAAAACACCAGTAAAACACATGTGGGAAGATTACTGAAGTTTCTGTCTATATGAATATAGACCAAAAGTACTAGTAGTTTGAAAAAAAGTAGTAGTTAAGGAACAAAGGGTGTTCCAAACACATGCTTCACGAACTACACCACAAAGACTAAAGTGTCACGTTTCCTAAAAAGGTTCGGTCAAAGGCTGCTTTTTGAGACTTCCCACAAACACTTTAGCCGTGTTTTCAATCACAGGGAGCTCACACAGGGTCAGTGGCTCCGTGGGAGGGGTTGGAAATCACGGTGGCCACGTCTGGGCTGACGGCCGCTCTGTGGAAACACTGGTTTCCTCTCAACAGCCTCTTTGATGGCTGCCCCCCTCCCGCCACCGCTGCTTCCCTGCACAGCAGCCACCATTTATTTGGACATCCAACCATCTAAAGTCAACCACCTCCAATGCCCCACACCTCCTGCACAGACACACATAAAATCAAGCTACACCCTGCACACAGTCCGCTGAGTCAACGCTTGTGCAGGAAGGATGCAGTTGTTTATGCAGCTCTGCTCCAGCTCTGAGTTGTATGGTCAATAGGGTAGGGGCGGGGTGGGGGCGGAGGAGGTGATGACTTTTACACTGCAGAAAATGGGAAAAGACAGTAGGAGGAAGAGGAAAGAGGCTGGACACACACATTTAAACACTCAAGGACATGTGGGGGAGTGTGTGTGTGTCTGTAATTGTAATAAACTATCTTTCACACACACACACACAGACATGTGCAGTTGTGCAGTCTGGTTTTTTTATGTGATTTAAAAAAACAGGATGCCGGTACAAGCTACTCTAGATGCCGCAGAGCTCAGAATGAAAACAGGATGCCGGTACAAGCTACTCTAAGGTTCGGAAGACAATAAAAAAACTTAAATACATATAATTGATTGACTGATTGAAGTATTAATTCAGAATATGAAAATCAAAAATATATAGTGAAAGAACGTAGTACAAGACATTTAAACATAGGGCATAGAAATGCATATTTAAAAAGGAGTGAGAAGAAGTATAACTTATAACTTATACTATAAACTGCCAATCCTTCTCCTTAACTAATGAATTACAATAAAAATCTTTTGGTGTAATAATAATAATAATAATGATATTAAATGAATCTTAGTCTTTTGCCTAAATTGTCAACAGAACTGTTTATATTTACTTATCCGTTATATTAACCAACTAAATGTAATTCAGACTGAGATGCAGCGTGTGATATTTTCACATTCATAATATTTAATTGTGTTTATAAAGTCCCAATTGTTTTGTGGAATATAAAAATACATTGGTTTCAACATTTAATAGAGAGCGTGAGAGAGATATGTGTAGAGATAGAGACAAAAACAGTGAGACAGAGGAGATGCTCCCGTGTGTCCTTCGTTTCCTACCGGACATCTTTTTGTCACGCTTTCTTTATGTCACGAAGTGACCGGAATATTCCCGCTCCTGGCTTCAAATTCTCTTCCTCTTTTCCTCCGTTTAATCTCATTCCGGATATACATCTGCAATGATGTCCCACCTTCTAAGCAACAAACGTACCTCTGATTGGCTATGGCTCTCATTTCTCACTGCTGTTTCCTGTACATGTCAAAAGTAACGCTGATTGGACTACGGTCGCCGCTGTTTCCTGTACATGTACATGTTAAAGTAACGCTGATTGGACTACGGTCGCATTACGTTTTTAACCGTCTCGTTTTTATTCGCTGTCTGTTATATCAATAAATGTTATTATTTGGCCCTACATAACGGGGTATTTAGTATTTGTAAGTCTTTAATGAAACCTGATTGGACAAAATTAAAACCGCTGAAAAACACAAAATGCGACAACCTCAAATTCAAATATGAATTTTATTTCACCCATACAAAATAAAAAGAATGTTAAAAGTTTACAATACAGCATCACCTGTCCATTTGGAAACATTTCATACTGATAATGACATACAAACAGGAGCCCCATCTCTGCTTTTAATGCATATACATCTAAAACAATTTTTGATAGAAAAAAAAAAACAAAAAAACAAATACATCGGAAACTGTAGGGAAGTGGTCGGAAATAAAACAAGAAGGGGGAAAGCATAACTTTAAAAACAAAGTTGATATTCAATGTCGGAGTACTTACAGCACCTCCGATGGGGCAATTCAGAAAAGAGATGAAGGTTGTATAAAATAATGAACGTGGTGTAAATGTCTGAGAGATATCCAAAATAATTTAAATTTGTAAACTACTTGTGTGGGTTTCTTTAATTTGTTATAATGACTCTGCGTTTTGACATTTTTTTAAAAAACGCATAAAAATAGGAAAAAAAAATACATTTTGTAAACCTATAATAAAAATACACTTGCTTCTTTATTTGCCTTTAAGTTTTGAGGATCGAACGGAGAGGCAAGCTGTGGCAGAGCCAGGAAGTGTGGTTCACATCATCGCGGCATATTCATCTGCCATAGTCTAATGATCACAACCTAGTGAGTCGTCACACTGTCTGTGACCTTTTCCCTTAGAAGAGTGCTGCTCACTTCACACGGACTTCACACACCTTTGCTATCGATTCTACTCTCTCCCTACATAGGCTATGATCCGACTTCAATTTTTTTTTTTAAATATCTGACAATGTTTCAGACAACTTTAATGAGAAAGGGTTCCCTTCATCATGAATATGTCAGAGAAATAAGAAAAGAAAGAAAAATGCCTTAAGGGCGGTGGGGGCGGACAGTGACAACTGCCATTTATTTTTATAGTCAAAATAGAACTGACGGGTTAAAAAACATCCATGAAGGACTTTCTACTATAATAAAATAAAAATAAAACCCTTAAAAAAGAAAAAAAAATTAAAACACATACTATACAAAGCAGTTTCTTGCCTTTTCTCTTCTCTTTGCTCTTGAGGATTCATCTGTGAGCGAGCTGCAACGAACAGTCCTTCCCTTTTCTACTTGGAGTGGCCACCGCATTAACTGAAGAAATTGAAATCAACATTGACAAAGCATGTTCACGTGTGTGTGTCTGTTCAGGGATAGAGTACTGGTGGGGGAGGCGGTACAGAGACAGCTAAGAGTCATAGTCTTCGTCGTCGTCATCCTCCTCGCTTTTGATCAGTGCCATGGCTGGGGGAGGCGGTACGGCGCTCATCATGGAGGGGTGGGGAGCGAAGGACATGGCACCGCGTGACTGTGCAGAAGCCAAGTCCAGGGGAACCATGTTGTCTGTGTGCATGAACTGTGGGGGTGGGCTCGAGCTGTGGAGGTCAAGACAGACGTACGAGAGGTCAATTCCGGAAAACACCGGTACATGCTGAGTATTTCATGGTTAAAATCCTTAAATACACTCATATTGTTCCTGCGTACTTGGGTTCTTTATCTTGGAACTTTTCAGGTATCAGTAACACAATTTAGTGCAGAAACCAATGACAATAATAATCAATTGTAAAAAAAACAAAACTGTGATGAACCTAATCTCTAAATTCTATGTGGCAACCTTTGTCTGTAAATTGTTTTATTGCACTATTTTATTTTTGTCTTCCTTAATTTTTGCCACTACTATGTGTCTTGCCCTGACACTGTAACAACAGAATTCCCCCAGTGTGGGATCAATAAAGTCTGATCTAAAGTGCATTAAGAGTTGCTTTTAAAACTTAGGTGAAAGTTAAAGCCAACCAAACGCACATTAGGCGTTGAGATGTTATTTTAAGCTTGCGGTGTTCCAGTGAAACAAACTTTTCTTCCCCACAGTGTGTGCAAATGAGACAACAACATGAGTATCAACTGTGTATTAGATAAACAATTAGCAAGTGGATGATTTAACTATTGGATAGAGACTGGGTGTCACTCTTCTATAAACAGAATCTGAAGATTTTTTACATATTTAACATGATTAATGTGTAAAATATGCCCCAGTTATAACCCATGCAATTAATGCTTTAATTCTTACGACATTCAATACTGTGTTAATTAATAGGACCCTTACATAACTCTAGGTTTTATTGAAACCTCATGTACTTTTTGGGTTGGCGTTACTTTTTAATCACTTTAAAGAAAAAGAGTATGAAAACAGGGTATGAAAAATAGCAAAGTGTTTTTATTAAGCCACTGGAGGCACATGAAGGTTTTTCACTGTTTATTTTGGAACTGTTTTTTTCATAAGGGGTGAACTCTGTTATTTTTTAAAAATGTTTTTCTTTTTCATATTCTCCTTATTCTAAAACAATGACAAAGCATCAGCTCCTCAATGCTAGAAGCAGACATTTCTTTCGGCAATGAAACGTATTCCCCCGCCCCCTTGTAATTCTTCATTATTATCCATGCTACTCTTGGTGAAATAGTGGTTACTATTTCTGTAACCACCAAATTCCCCTATGAATTTAACGGTGTTTATTTGCATCTGCATCACTGTGTAAGTTCATACAAAGTCAACAGATGTGTCAAATATGTCGTACCCTACAACCACGTGGCCTAAGAGGAGGGTTACAAATAGGTACAGGGTGATGCAAGATGTTGTCTGTTTATTTAGTATCATAGAAACAAGGTGATGCAAGATGTCTGTTTATTTAGTATCATAGAAACAGAGGCAGTCTGAGGTGCATACCTGTGAAACCTGGCTGCAGTCTGTTGATTTGTGCACGACCGGGAGCTGTTGTCCTCGTCCCCTTCTGTCTCGCTGTCCTCGGAGTCGTCCTGTTATCGATCATGAGCAAGACAACAATGAGCCATCCCTCAGCACATCTTCTCAACTGCAGATAATTACTGCCCTCTGGTATATTGCTATTGGCAAAGCAAATCCTCCTCCCACCTCTTGCTCTGACTCGGTGCCAGATAACTTTTTGTCCTTGCCTTTCGATCCAACCCCTCCGTTTTTGCGTCCAGTTCCAGGTTTCCGACCCCTTGAGGGAAAATAAGAGGGGAGAAAAAAAATGTCAGGTGAAGGAAATAAACCAAAGTTGACACCACTTCTGGGCAAAGAGGATGGTTCAACCTGTACAGGTCAGTGAAACTTCACAAGGCCATGTGTAGAGGCAAACAACAAATCAAAGAAAGAATGGGAATGATACTTTCTGGTGAATTGTTGACAGACAAATATATATATACAGTATATACAACATTATGTTAACAAATACAAAGTCTTTAAATGTAAAGCAACAAACAAACACAAAGTCTTTAAATGTAAAGCAGCCTAAAAGACTAAAAATAAGCACTTAATTATGGTAATAAGTGATCTTCTGTTAATTAAAACAAGCAGAACACTTATGCTTATAAATATGTCAATATGTTAGGTATTATTTTCTTTGTTTTGATGACCTAGCCTGACAAACAGTACCATTTCAGCATTAGTTGCATCCTCTACTTTTGTACTATAGACTCATATTAGACCTCTAGTAATGTACACAAACTTTTTTCTTGCAGGATACCAAAAACAAATTAAAAACAAGAACATCATTCTACGGCAAGGATCTGCAATGCAGCTTTTCCCTAAAGGAGCATAAACCCCGCTGGAGATGATTTCAAAGCAGAGAGTAATGGGACAGATACTGCTGCTGGAAATTCGTCGGAGCCATTGAAATTCAAAAAACGCTGCTAAACCGTGTGTCTCATCCCCAAAGCACAGAGAAAATGTCTAAATATTAGCGGCTTATATACGCACTTTGAATTAAATCTGTATCAAATCAGGCATGCCATTTAGTGAAAAGAGCGACTTCTGACTCATTTCTGAGTGTGTAATGCTCTGCCAGCCTCTCCACTTCAATTTAGCAGAAATGGCAACGTTTGATTTGACAGTCAATACGGCTCTCTCTTCTGCACAATCCTCAATAATTAGTTCTTGCTCTGTGGAGCTGAATAAATGTGCTCATTTTTCTTTTTTCCCCACTTTTGTTGTTGGTAATCTTTAGTCTGCAAACAAATTAGGAGGGAAAAAAAGCAATACACGGTAAGTGTGCAGAGATGGCAAACACAGTAGTTTCAGTCACCTCTATTTTACAGTGAGCTTTTTTAAAATAATTAGAGGAAGTACCAGGACCTGTTGCTATGTGAAGATTGCTGTTTGTTTGTTTTCTTTCATCTAGCAGAAATGGCAAAAAGTCATCTCAAGTTCTAGAATAAATTATTGACTAATCCTGTGCTTTATCTGTTTTAAAGTGGGTGCCTAGAAAGGAGCCAAATGAAACGAGAGATTACCTGCGGGAGACTCTTTCTCCTCCGCCATCGTTGTGGTTCTCTTCTCCCTCGCCCTGCATGTCCGGCACTGCAGCCACCAGGTCTTTCAAGAAATCAAACTGTTGTTCCAGTTCAATACACTGTTTTCTGTGGGACACACAAGCAGAGTATTTTTTCCACTCAGACTCAGGCAAAGACACAATAATTGGTTATAAAATGTTATAGAATAAAAGTGGCAATTTTATAACACTTTTTATTTAACTGAATGCTGGGCAAACTTTTTGAGTGGTGGGCCACAATTGGTCCTAAAATTGAACAGGGGGATCGGGTCAGGAGCAGATAGATGGAGCTTTCTTGCAAACTAAGATAACTGACATGTAACAGTCATGTAAAAAAAAAGGATAAAATGCTAAAATGCTTTTATCATTTTCTACGCCATCTATTGGGGAAACGTGGTATTGCAGGGAAAAGACACGTATAATAATAATATAAATTAATTGTATAATTTGGAAAAGTTTGGCCATATTAAAAAGCTGAATGGGCCGCATCTAGCCCTCAGGCCTTAGTTTGCCCATCAGAAACACATTGTTTCTTGATTTTAAAGAGCAAAGGAAATCTATCCTGGTACCGCAGGTTTTCCCAGGTAAAACATATTGCTTGTGAAATGTCTGAAGCACCGACTTGAATGCAGGTTTCTCCATGGTGGTAAATTACACCATCTCTTCAACCAGATACCATGTATCTGTGCCGGTTAGGCATTTAAGTCTGTCACTTTCACTACTGTACTTGCCAACTGTACTCAAGCAAAGGCTCCGCTGGCTCCAAGCTGTTGGCTGGCACCAACATGAGCTGCTGCGCGACTGCGTGGGAGGAGGCGCCAGCAGCCGGGCCTCAATAGCTATACGGTAGCTTGCTGGGTTAGACCTTAATGTTCGTAGTGTTTCCTTGAACATTTTACAAATTGCCTAGTCTAAATTTGCTGGTTCTCTCTTTTCATTTGGTTGAAAGCCAAAATACTCCAAAAGTGGCAAAGTAACAACGGCCATTATATTTTATAAAACTTTGTTAGTGGTGATGGTGGCCTCATCATGTACTGCACAAGCTTCTGAATACAGTATTTCATTCTTGTGAAAGCGACAGCCCTAGCACCGACTACTTACTGTACAAACGATTTTTGTAAACACAGAAAAATCCAAATTGTGAATAAATAGAAAATTAATGTGAGATCCTTTCATGTGAAGAAAAAAAAAACATCAAGGCTACTAATACTTTCATTTTCCAATTATGTGACAACCAGACAAGACATTGTCAAAGATCAGACACAGCCATTAGTCATCTGGTTCTGCATTATGAACAACTAATCAAACTCTGCTTGTCCTCAGGATGGCTCTAACTTACTCTCATTTCATTCTTAACCCAATATTTTAATGTTTAAGCATGAATGAAGAAATGACTTGGGCTGACCTTTCTTACTATAGCCAATCAGAGCAGGCACTAGGGTTGTCACAAGAAACAATGCTGCGGTACCAAGTTGGTGCCGACACGCAAAAAATTCTTGGATGACAGCTTTTTCTTCCCAGTACCATCAGTACCGCATACCTTTTCCCTCCACGAGCCATGTTGATTCTTAGCAGAACTGACGGGAGCAGTGTACGCTTGTGAGCGCTAAGCAATCACCACCGCCTAAGAAGAACGGCTGCTGTCTTTAAAAAAAAAAACTTTAGTAATTGCGGGTGAAAACACAACACCGGCCTATCGATAAGGCAGTAGCAGGAGTCGAGTGTGGAGATACTCTGCATTTGAAGTGGATGAATGTGGAGCAACTACAAATCCACAAAAAAAACGAAATAAAAATGGTCAGTTTGAAGTTTTCAAACGTGAAAACTTGGAAAAACTTGGCAAAAAAACCTGAGTTCAAGGTAAGTCAGTTTTGGTTTATTACCAATTGTGTCTCGTTGTGATAAATTCGAATATGCATCCCGTTATTTGGACTTGAGAACCAGCTCACTGTTTGTAGAGGTGAAGAGAAGCTTTTCTTATGTCTGACAGTCTGAGGATGATACTGACTGAGAGAAGCTTTTTTTAATGTAAAATAGTTGACTATTGTTGTTATGACCGTATTTATAAGCACAGTATTGTTTGTTGGTTTTTATATACTGGGAGGGTTCAGGTTACTGCTGTTTGTTTTTTAATGTAATGTTTCTGCCTCTTGGCAGCTGGTACCGCAATGTAAATTTTATGCAAAAAGATATTAAAGCACAGTGATATTAATTACTTTACAGTTTAAAACAGTTTATGATGAAGTAGTTAATTTAAAAGTACATGGTTTCTGTTTGTTGTTTGTTTGTTTTAAATTTTTATCGTGATATCCCAAAAGTTTTGAGAACCGGAGAAATTCACAGGTATTAGTATCGAGTATTGCAATTCCGGTATTGTGACAACCCTGGCAGACACCAGCAAAAATCAACATTTCAGAGCTATTTTCCACTGTAGTCAATACGAATTAAACGCAACTTCACAAAAATATTTAAACCTGAGCTAAGATATTTTGAATATACAGTTTATGAATGAGGACTTTTGTGTGATCCACAAATTACAGTGAGCTTGGAATACTGGAAAAGTGCAATGTTTTTGGATACAAATTGGGCTACGGTACTTTGCAAATGTCATGCTGCAGTTGCTTTCTCAGAAACTAAGAATAATAAAGCAACAGTATCAAATTTGTTGGAAAAAAACAGCCTCAGAGCTAGTGGACTGATACATTAGTACTTGTTTTGTTCAGTATTTCCAAAGTAACAATTTAGTGTGACCATCCGAAATATTCACTTTTGAACATAATCACACTATGCAACCAATTTCACCTTCTGTTTGACTCTAAACAATAACAACTCATGCTGTATAGGCTGGTCACATTCTTATCACATTAAACTCTATTATATTAGAACAAAACTAATGAGACTAAAAATGGTAAACAAAAAAATAGATAAAGTATTTAAGGTAGTAAATAAAGTGCTGCCTTTTGCTGGTGCTGCTGTCATATCACTGGTTGGACTTCCAGTTTTGCAAGCTTGCTTTGGTGTGTAGCTTCGGATACATGCAGATGGTCAAGCTTTTAAGATAGCATCAAGGTGTCACATACCACTTTACATAAATAAGTATGGAGCTAAGTGAAGCTCACAACAGTTCAGATGGCTAAAAATGATCATAACACAAAAATACATCTTCGAAACACATCTCCACAATGAAAATAAATCCAATATTACCTATAGAAAAGCAGTTCATATAAATGTAAAGCTTTGGTGGCGAGAGCAGTTGTCAGTAGTGGTGGGCGGATCGATCCAAATATCAATAGTATCGATAACAAAATGGTATCGGATCGATATTAGCCTGGAGAGATCGATTCTTTACTTTAAGTTCTGCTTGTTTGCAATGTTGCAGTTTCGGTAAGAGGAAACAGCCAGGTCGCCAGACTCGCCACTCCTGTGTCAGCGCAGAGCAGGCAAACTTTGCTCCCGTTGGCCCCTCTTGTGTTTATATGTTGTGCCGTCACAGGAGTCACGTGACTTAGATGCGCAAAGCAAACAAACAAGCAAGTTGCCGGCTCAGGGTCATCAGCACACGCACAGAGGAAATACATACTGGCCCGTATCGGATCGATACCAAAATATGCAGTATCGCACACCACTAGTTGTCAGGTCTTATGAATTCATATCAAAGATATGGCAATACATTTGAATGCAGGGAAAGAAAAACACACACTTACAGATGTGACGTCGTCATTGTCTTTGCATTTCTCGACTGGGTGACTTGACAGGCCTTTGTAAGCAATGACTCCAAAAATAGCTCCAGGGCTCGTGCTAAGATCAAAATTAAGGAAAATGTGGTACAAGAGATTGACTCTCAGTTGCACAGTAGTTATTAACAGTAAATTAATAAAAATTTGAGGTATGAAAATAAAAAAACATATGCCTCAGTAACATTAGGGCTTGAAATTCAAATGTAGTTGTCTCAAATGTTGTGTACTACGAAAAAAAATACAGATACATTTTTTTTGCGCTATTATTATTCTTTAAAAAATATTAATAAAACACAACCCACATTGAGCACTAATCTGCCTATACTGTATTTGCAACAGAGTATAAAAAACACAATAAAAATCTCACCCAACAAAAAACAAAAAAAAAAAGTTTCTGGGTTTGCCAGAAATTTGAGAGGTGAAAATGGGGTCACAAGCCAAAAAAGGATGGGAACCACTACTGAACAACTGGTACTTTTATTTTAGCAATCTTTATCTGCATGTCCTCCTTCAGAATGCTGATGAATGCTTGTGCCTTCCTACCTGGTGGCTCTTTTTTCCAACATTTTTCCAATATAAGCCCAAATGCTCCCCAACCTTGCTCATCTTACTTAGCTGGCAATCAGAAATGTTCACCTCTAATACATTTTGTAGTCATCACTCCCAATTAGCATTAAACTAAATATCACTCTACATCACATGGAGCCCAGCTAAGTGTCTGTAAGATGGTAATAAATCCAAGTATCTTTACTGGTCCTATTACCATTTTTTCCTTCAAATTTTACATGTAAAAACCTTGTAACAGTAATATTTTGCAGGAAGGATACAAATAATAACAGGTACTGCTGCAGCCACTTTGCCTATTTCCTCGTCAGTCTGCATAATTTTCTTTATCCTCGCCTGAAATGACAAAGGTGCACAATAAGTCAAAATATGGTTAAACAATGACACAATTTGTTCTTAAATAAATGTGTAAACTGTCTAAATTCAGCCTTCAAAATCAAGTATAAATGTTTTATGACCACAATGATTAGTTTGGTCAGCATGCATGTTTACAAGCATTATTTTCTGTTTCCTTATTAATAGTCTAACGTATGCACTGTTAATATAAAAACAGAACAATTGCAAACAACAAACGGGATCCGGAGGGCAACGTTAGTTTCAGTTAGTTTCCCTTAGCTCGTCAGGCTAAAAACAACGGTAATTAGTAGAGGGTCTAACTTAAGCTGCACATCTTTAAATGCCCCTGGTAAGGGTAGACAACGATAAGAGCTCCGCGCAATGTTGTGTTACTTTTCGTAGTTACAGTGTACACGTTGGCGTTGAAGTAAGGGTTTCTAGTTGTCTGGAGAAATAATTATGAAATAAAACAGACTGTGTCCCACTAAAACCAGCTACAAAAGTTAGCAACACATCCTACAGCTAGCCAACGCCGGTTCGTCGAAGTTGAAACTTACCGGAGGGAATCTAGCGTTGTATTTCTTCTTTTTGCTAGGCATAGTAAAATTAAGCTGTAACCTGGCCTCAATTAAAATGCAGTGTAAACGGGGTTATAATACTTATATCATGAGTAAATCACCTCCACCGTGTACACACATACACACACATACACACACTTTCACCAGGTAGCGGTAGCTATCAGGCTAAGTCGTTAGCTAGTTGACGTCACTTGCACCCTCGTTTGCAACTCGTTTCCTACGGGTCCCAGCACCGTCGTGTTAGAGCACACGTGAAATAGCGCCGTTAACCCGCTGGTTATTCTAACTCTGTAGTGTAACAGTGAGGTTATTGCCGTTAATGGCTGTAGCAGACAGTATAGTAAATTGCACTCAAATGTCACCTTGGGATGCCATTCAGATGTATGGCAATTTAAGATCCTCATAGATGTACGCGTACGACGTAAAATAAAACACACCGAGTGCTTTGTGAAATGTGTGTTGTGCTAGTACGTCAGTAAAAATACAAATATGTCACAATGCAGAGTCTTTTGGTTTAGATGGGAAGGACTCGGTCCATTCCCCTGTACATATCTTTGTGTCGGAGGAAACTACACCGTCGATTCTGCGCTTGTGCGGAAGACGAAACCGAACAACAAAACTTCATCTACTGGTGGGTAAAACCTTTATGTCGATTATTTTTGCTTGGCATTTTTAATAACTTATAACTAATAGTCACACAAGTGTGTCTTGTGAAGTCGGCTTTGTTTTACAAAAATCTAATGTTTTTAATTGTATCTCAGATCACCGTCAAATGAAGAAATAAAGACAAGCTACAAGGTTAGCTACGATCGCGCTATAACCTGGGTATAAAAGCGCGTAAGCTTGGTTGGTACTGGACAAAAAGTCGACAAACAAGCTCGTGCAGAATAGGTTATAGTAAACAATTTTAGCATGTGCCCACGAAGTGCTTATTTAGCTTAGAAGCTTGGCAACAATATGTAAACATTTATGTACAAAGAGACGCAGCGAATGAACTTTGGCCTTTTGAAATGAAACGTCGTTGTCGTCGCCATATTGGTCCGGACAGAAACGAAAACTAAACTTGTCCCACTAAACGTAAACTGCCACATAACCAAAAGTAATTACAAATACGAGGTACTTACACTTTATCAAGTAATTTTTTTTTCTAATATACAACAGGGCTAGGGTCCCATTGTTTTTAATTGAACCGAGTGCCACAACGAATTTCATTGTTTGTAAATCCAAAACTACGTCAACTATAGTGTTTGATTACTGTACTCAAACTGATGAATTCGTTTTATTTAGTTATGCAAATAACATTTTTTCATGAGAAATGCATAGTAAAATAATCAAATTTTGTGTAAAACATAAGTAAAAATAATATAATAAAAAATATTTAATGAGCTGGAACATTTTATATGTATTCCCTGTTTGCAGGGCGCACCCAAATAGTCTTACTCTAACAGCAACATGGAAGAGGCAAATGTACCTGTTGATGGAGAGGCGGAGACATTCTATGCTGCAGAGACCTATGCAGCTGAGGCAATGGCTGCAGACATGGACCCATGGATTGTGTTTGACTCAAGAAAAACACCCAGATCTGAATTTGACGGCTGGCTTGAGAGTAACAGGCCGTCGCGGGTGTACCGATTCGGCAACGAGGAAACTGGTGCTGGCCAAGTGGGTTGGATCGCTGTGCGGGGCCCTGACTACTGCCCTGGCAGTGCTAATGAAGATGTTGAGGGTCTTCAGGAAAGCTGGCAAAAATTGTTGGACAGTGGTCGGCCCGTGAATTTTCAGACGATAAAGGAACTTGCCCTGAACCACGAGGTGCTCTATGGCAAGTGGCTGATGCACCTAGACTCTGGTTTTAAGTTGGACCACGCATGGGAGTGTGTGGCCAGAGCAACCCTGCACGGCAAAATATCTGCAGTAAAAGTCAGTACCTATGATCCCAAAGTTGACAGACAGGTCATTTGTGTCTACAACCCGAACTTCACTGATGAGAGCGAGGTGATAAGGTTGGACTCAGTCATTCGTGCTGCTGGGGTCAAATGTCCTCTGTCCTATAAGCCAGATGTGTACACTTACCTGGGAATTTACCGCAACAACCGCTGGAAAATCTCTCCGACCATTTACAGTAGCAAATTTGACTTGGAGTGTGTGCCAAGGCGTTCACACATTATCAACAAAGTCACCAATCAAGAAGTAACGTAGATTATTGTCAGTTACGGCCGTTGCCAAATTTTGTCTGAAGCATCCCCTTTTGTGGATATGACTTAAGCCCTCCCAAATATCAGCACACTCGTGTATTTTTAAATCCACTGAACTCATTTAAAACATGGGAATTCTTGCAAAACTGCTTTTCTCAATGGAAGTAAAATTACAAGTCAGTGCAATATTTCAGCACTGAAATTGATTTTCGTTTGCCTTCCTGTGACGCTACTGCAAAAGTTCTGTGCCTCTAGGGTGGCCCTGCCCCCATAAGGAAATTACAGGAAGCATTTATCACTGTATGACGGTTAAAACCGGTTTTTTAAAAGTAGTGGTGATAGGTGGTTGACTTTTCGTTCCAAAGATTTTGCTGGTCAGGCACCAATTCCTTTGATTTCTTCATGCTGAGGCCTAAAATGTAGGCACTATTTGGCCTTAGATTTTTTTTTTGCTAACAAGATTTGCCAAATAAAGGGTACTTTGAACACCAGGTTTGTAAGCTGTCTTTTATTGCCAAGTGTTTGCCAAGGATTTGTATAGACTTAGTCAATAACGAAAGCAGAAACATTTACAGTACAATCTGTTTACACAATTGGTATAAAACTGCATAATGCTATGTCAATAAAGCAAATTAACTCGAGTACATACGGTTGAGCCACAGTACAGAAACCGTGGTGTTTTGAAGCAGCATATTCCTAGAATAAGGAAGGGACAGGAAGATTAGTAAGCTTAAATACCTGCATGAGCCTTTTGTATGATTCACTGCCATAAGCATGTAATTAATAATAATGCCTCTGTCATAATTATGTACAAATACACCTTGATTCCATTTCCACAACATCACTTCTTACAGTTTTGTTCATACCCTCAACAAAGACGTGGTGTTACGGTTACAGGTGTTGCAGGCCACTGGGACAAACATTACTGACCTCTGTCTTGGGCAGCAACATATTTTGACAACACCTTATTTAGTTGTAGGCTATGAATGGGGACATGGTCATTGTGTCACTTCCTGTTCATAGGTACTTTTCACTCTCATTTCACTCTCTCTCCAGCGTGTCTCCTTGTGAACGAGTTTGCTAAAGGAGGGGGGGGGGGGTGGTTCATCATTACCGACCCACAGGCTCTTTCTGCATGTCTGACTCCTGACTGCATAATGTACAAAACGGAAAACACTAGAAAAGATTCTTAATCAACGACAGATTTAAAAACCTAGATATCTTTAGCACAGATCTGAACTAAAGTAATTCACGGACTGCAGCTTTAAGTTACAATATTACAGTTCGGGGACGCGTCATAAAAACTTTTAGATACCAGCTGCTGTGTTCAAAGGTACAATTCAGATTGTACATCAAGGAAATATGAAAAAGAAACGTTTAGTTGAGGTTGTGTTCTGAAATAGATGACGTCAGCAATGCATCTGATTGGTTTGTATTTATCAAACCTACTTGGTTGGAGGATAACCATAGCATCATCAGGACTGTTAATGATTAATGCTAAACAACAGTTTAACAAGGGCAATAAAATCTTTGTTGTTTGTTTGGGTTTTGTGTTCATCACAAAAAAAACCCCAGTTAAACACACTTAGCATGTAGCGCACACTGACTTTACAGTTTGGATTTTAAACGTGCTTTGACAAAGAGCTGCTTTGCTACATTCTGTCTGCTCCAGCTTCTCCCATCCACCTCGTTTCCCTTGTTGTCTTAATCGACAGAGAAGGACTTTTAGGCTTGAATGGCTGAAGTGGCCAGTAAACGTGCCGCATCATAATGTGTCCTCGGTAAGACATTTTCATAGACAGACTCTAGGTATGGTGTCCTGACACAAAGCCAGCATGGCTTTCACTGTTAAAAATGGAAATGAGACGATCCTCGTCAGCAGACATGAGCTCGTCAAACTCGTCCAGCACAGGGGCTTGGTAGTTGTTGCTGGAGGAGCCCATAACGATCATGTTTTCATTCTGAAGCAGGTTGACAATGCTGTTTGGGTAATTCATCCAGGTGCTTCCCGGGTTGGAGGCAGGCTCAGAAGAGTTCTGAGTTAATGTGTTGTTCTGGGCAGCCGATGGAACTTGTTGGCACGAAGGCTGGGCATTGTTTTCGTCCTCATTCACAAGGCAGGGTTTCAGAAGGTCCTCAAACTCATCCATGTTCAGGCTTTCCAAGGTGCCTTGCGCCTCAGAAAAGCTTGGGAACTCTGGGATATCTTCATCCGCCAAGCGTGTGCCCGCCCTGAAAATTGGGTATCCGGGACTAGAGGGCTCTTGGGTAAGGGTGGAGGAAATGTTGGGGAAGAAATCAGGAAGGTCTGCCAGGTTGACAGTGGAGTATTCCTGGTTGGTGGTGGAGCTACATGAGGAAGAAGAGGAAGAGGTGGAGGATGGTGGTTTGGTCATGGAGAAACTCACAGGAGTAGCTTTGGGCCGAGGCCCAAGGTTGAGGCTCTCCATGATTTTCCATGTTTGATTTGTGGTTGCAGCTGAGATGGAGGCAGAGGATGCTTCCACCTTGGGTTGGAAGCAGTACGGAGCCTGAGATTTGGCTGCACTGGCACCAGGGGGCAGTGTAGGTGCTAAACAGACAGCAGAAAAACAAAAACATCACTTGTGTCATTTAAACATCACTTCCACATGGCGTTTTATAAAACAACACGAGTAAACACGACACCATTACTGCACTGTTTGTTTTATAAAACAACACGAAAACACGTAAACACGACACCATTACTGCACTGTTTCTTGAATAAAATTGAGTTCTGAAATAAAAGCTTTGAATGATACATGTGTGCCCTTAAAAGAAGGGCGTAGATACATTTACAGATATTGCTATCGAACCCAGGACTCCCTGCTTCTGAGGCAGGCGTGCAAATCAATTATATACAGTATAGTAAAAATATATACTGTATTCTAACTAAGCCTTTCAATTTATTTAATTTTCATTTATAATATATGTATGTATATATGTATATATATGCACCTGTTATATATACAGTGTATCACTTATATTTATTATATGACTGTTTCTACTTATATAAGCGTACATAAATATATTAAATATATATATATATATATACAAACAGCTGTCAAATAATAACATAAATAAATAAATAATGTGGTATACTGTAGTATATGCACTGAAGTTTAATAGCAACAATACACAAGATTCTATTCCTGTCTATATCTATATCTATAGAATCACGTTGTGTGACGTGAACAGACTTACCAGCTTGTGTGTTCATCACTGGAGGCTTGACTGCGACTGTCCTCCTTGCAGTGCTGATGTGTCGTCTTTCTTGTGGCATGCACACTGTGGTGTGACACATACATTGTTTATTTCATTCTTTCAACACCCCCACCCCACAAAAGCTATAAAACTATAGCTATATAAGCTATAAAGAGCTAAAAACCTCTTTTATGACAATATGAAGGACTGCATACCAGTGGACAGCATGGGCCCCAGCTTCAGGCTCTGGAACATGTCTCCTGTGCATTTCCTCTTTTGACACAGTCTGTACTCATCTACAAAAGTTATTTTTAAATAGCAGATATTACAAACAAATTTCTGTTGCAGGCAATCGTTTGAAAGTAAAAAAAAAAAAAAAGAAACGCAATGTCTTCTACCTTGTTCAACAGGCACATACTGGAATTCCATTGGCTCGCTGACCTCACGATCGGACGGGCGGCGCAGCTGCATTTGGACCTTAACGGGCTCCTTGAGATTAGTGTCATGGTATGGCGGCGTGCGGAACACAATGGCCACCTGCCTGTGGACGTCAGCCTGAGAGAACGTACCTTTTCCCTCCCAGGAGTCCTTGAAGAAACGCACCTCGATATCTTCTACGTAGCCAAACAGAAAATAAGGAAAGTCAGGAGGGCAGGAAAATTAAAACAAAAGCAGACACTGATCGAATAAAAGCATTAAGGATTATTTGTTAAAACATTGAAAAAAACAAAACAACATTTCCAGGTCCCCAAAGAATGTTGGGCACTTTCATCTTCAACTGTTAAACTTTAACTAGTTAACTGTTAGAGCAGAACAGCAGCACCACTTTTTGGTTCAACTGACTGTGTAGGTTTCCTGGAAATAAGAAGTTTACTATCAGGTTGACCACTGAGTGTTCACAGACTGTTTGTTTAATGATGTCATGTGTGTTTACGTGAGCCTCAGTCTCACGGCCACCGTCGATTCTCCCACGATCGAAATGCAGTTCACACGTTTTCTCATAAAGTACAGTCAGTCAATAGGGGAGATTGATTGGTTAATAATAATAAAATAATAAGAAAAACTAGGAGTTAAGAGCAAGAAAACAAATCTTTGCAATACATCCTAAAATATAATATCTCTAAAAGCACAACAATGTGAATGTTGATTTGCTGCTTTTTACTGAAGTTCTATTGCCACAACAACAAACAAAACTGGAGAAATTGCAACCGAATGGGAAGTGCGGGGCTGATTGGCCTTTAGAGAGAAGACTATGTAGCTGTTTCTAAAGTTTGTGAATTCATGGAAATACACACGCCCACAAGGGACTATATAGAAAACAGGAACGATAGTTTAGTGGCCATCTGAATACAGGAAGATAGCTTTCATTTTGTGATAAATGTGAGAGAGAAACGTGACTCCTCTGTGTGTCGTTGCAAGTAAAGTGACAGGCGAGGAAACCTGACATGTACGACAGGGTTGGCAGCATTCAAATGAGTTAAAACAGAATCGACACTCGATGCATGCACAAGCAAATGTTCTGCACAGTTGATACATACTGAGTTCGACATTTGCTTTGCCAAGTGAGAGGAAGAATAGCTGCCAATATGTTTTTGTTTTATAACAGATTGATTAATTTGTTTTTATTCATTTGGATTAAACAGTTATTTGAACGGGCAGAAAAAAGATTCAAATGTGAAAAATCACAACTTGCCCATTATTCCAGAACCAGCAAAAAAAAACCCCAACAACCACAAAATAAAAAGATATTTAAAAATGTATACATAAAAATATAGGTACCATAATAGCTGAACCAATGTAAAAACCACAAAATGTATAAAAATAAAAAGATATTTCAAAATATATACATAAAAATACAGAAATGTCAATTAATATAAAGCAGTGTTAATCAACTGGCGGCCCACAGGCCGAATCCAAACAATCAAACAGTTCAATCCGACCTGGGACTTGATTCCAAAATTGTGAGGATCAAAGAGAAAAAAAAGATTTTATGTTATCTTAATTGAATGTCTGGCCGCTAACGTCTCTATCCAGAAAAAGTTACATTTTCTTTCATTTTAAAATTACACCTAATTTGTGCCTTAATGTCCCTGTCATTTCTGAGTTTATTTTGTGTGATTGTGGTGATCCCATGTCATCTGCACCACAGTACGCACCCATAGGTACCATAATAGCTGAACCAATGTTTAGCGGCATCAAAATTAACTTAACCAAAGCCTCATTAAGGAAAATAAAGTAGTTAAAAGTTTTGTAATCAAAAGATAAATACATAAAGATAAAAAATGAAATATACAATGTACATAAGCTGCAAAATCATCACATTGTTAGCAATTTTCACTATTTCGCGTATCTAAGTAAGCAAAAGTAGGGGGCGGGCCGCTTTGCAGCAGCATGGAAATTTTGCAGGGGAAGGGGAAGCAGGTCAAATTAATTTAACTTTTAATATTTTCTTATTGGTGCCAGTTTGGGAGGAAAAAAAATAGTGATGTGTAATTTTATTTTTTCGCTAAGAATATATGTTTAAATAAAGTTTGTTGGAATTTTGAAGCATTCGCTGTGTATAGGAGGTGAAGGGGTTAACAAGAATACTATGTATAGAAATGGGGAAACACTGGCATACCTTAATGCAAAGTGAGGGTTAACCTTTCTTTCAATCACTGACTTCGGTCAATGTTCCATGTACTGGAAAATAACACTATTATGTGGTCATGATTTATTTTTCTTTGGAAAGTGAACTATTTGTCATTGTGACTCAGCACACCAACGCACACACAACGAAATGTGACCTCTGCTTTTAACCCATCACCAAAGTGAACAGTCGGCAGCAGTTTGTGTGAGGAGAGTGCCATGCTCAATGGACAAAATTGTGGTGGACTCGAACCTGAAACCTTCTAGACCCAAGTCCACTTCCTTAACCACCAAGCCACCACTGCACTGTTCCACTGACCAGATTGAAAGTTAAACTTGATGTCATGTGGGAGCGACACTGACAAGCAGGAAAAATAATCTAATAACTGCAAATCATATCGTACCTTTTTGCACTTTGTCACACAGTAGAAAGATTTCATCGCCTCCCTTGCAGCTCCCACAGTTACGGTTGACTCGACAGATCTTCAGTTCTGCTGTGTTTGGAGCTCCTGTAATGACGACCAGAGCACAGATTAATCCACTTAATCCACACTAAGGTTTTAAAGACCTGACAAAACAACTGTACACGTGTACATATACTGAGTTTGACATTTGCTTTATCCATAAGTGGGGGACGGGGGGGACGGGGTGCAGGGCTGCAGATATGTTTTTGTTTTGTAATAAACCTTTACGTCTTTTAAAGTTTCTCATTTTTCAGTTTAACACATTGAACCAAAAATGTCAATGTATTTATAGAAAAATAGATGGTAAGATCATTTAAATCCTTTCCTAGAGAGTACAACATTTTCATTTTCAAACTTTATGTTTGATATAAGCTTGATTGTATTTATTGTCATTGTCTTTTATTTTGAAAAAACTAAAAATGAAAAAACAAAGATGACACATTGTTTCAAGATACGTTTAGACATCAACGCTGCACAAAAATTGAGGTTTAATTGTGGAGATACTATAAGTGTGTTTTTTTTTATAAATAAAGTCTCCTTATGGGCAACACACATAAGTACATATATAGTACATACATGTAAATACATAAGGGCTGGGCATTTTAACGTGTTATTATTGCGTTAACTCATAACGCAATTAATTAAAGCTGACAATTATTTTAACGCGTGTCAATGCATTTTAAAATGTTTTAATTTTACTATTGTTAACGTCTGCTGCTCAGCAGCTTTTATATTGTAAAAGTTGGTTGGTTACTGCTGCAGCGCTCACAGGAACTGAAAACGAAGATAATTAACCTTTCGTAAAAACCCACCACTGTTGTTCTATGTAAACAAGCTTGTTCAAGCGGAACGTTTGACAAGCAAAATGGTGAACTGATTTGAACCAGATGTAGCATTAGCTGTTCATTTTGGAAATAGGATGGGCTAGTAACTCACCCTCTAAATTATTCAGTCGATACAGCAGAAAGGTACAGAGAAGAGTTCCATCCATGTTTATGTGAACACCAAGATGCAACACTCCCAGTATTCCCTCTGATGTCCGGTTAGCAATGTTAACTTCCATTTAACATCCAGTTCTCATAACGACATTTATGAAGCACCAGCATTAGCTGTTAGTGGTGTGGAGTGCTAATCCAGTATAAACATGGACTTCACAGACAGGGTCCCCTGCACAATAAATCTCAGCTGTGAACTTTTCTGTGCGTCACCTCACTCAGAGACCTTTGGTAGTGAACATAGACTGGTTTGCTGCTTCCTGATAGAAGAAACAAGTTTCTGCTGTTACCTCTTGCCTGTTTTAATTGTATACTTGTTGCCTAGGGATTTTGTGGGTCGTTTTTTATATATATATATACACATAACAAACATGATAACATTAATGCCTTGGAAGCAATAAGCTTTTGTGTTTAGTTGTATTTGCATTAATTACATTGTTTACATTGAGATTTACCCTCAATATTTTATTTTAACTCTATAGTATAAAATGCTGACATTAAAAGTGTTTGCGCAACAAATGTAATGGCACTTTCGTTCATATGGCAATACATTTAATTTACTACTTTTGAATTGATTATTGGATTTTGCGTAACACTGCGATTAGCAGCGTTTAATCGCAAGAAGTCATCCCAACTGAAATATGCAATCATTGCCCAGCTCTAGTAAAAACATAATAAAAGAACAAAGATTCAACATACCACCAAAGGAGATGTGCATAGTATGATATGCAGCAGATATTTGGCTGTTAATTGACTATTACTGCCAATGAGCATTAACTGAATAATAAAGGAAATGCTCACCATCATTACCCTAACTGAATAAAGGAAATGCTCACCATCATTACCGTTAATTGTTGTTGCTTTTTTTTAATCATAAGAGAGGGTTAGGATACAAAGACAAACAAAGACTGACTTAGAGAATTCAATGTTTTGGTCAGAAAGATAAAAGCAATAAAATAAAATCCAATTAGGTTTCATTTTCATTTTTTCAAGTCCAATGAGATTGTAATTTAGCAAAATGCTTTTATCCAAAGCTATTTTCCGAGGCAAGTGTGCTAACCGCTACACTATGGTACTGATTGTATTTGTTATTTATATCATTATTATTATTGTATTTAGTTTTGTTCAAATCTCCATCAACTTAAATACACCATCATCGTGCATGTATCAGGTGTCGTCCACTCACTGTTGTCGTAAATGGGCTGCGATACGACAGGCTCCAAAGGAAACGTCTCCCCCGTGGGCAGAGTGATGGAAGCCTGGAAGCAGAGTCGAACTGAGTTCAGGTCAAACTCCTCCTCCCACACCTTTGCTTCAGGTACTGTGGCAAAAAAAAAAAAAAACATCCATAGGTTAGAAGAATGAATATTTAGAGTCTTTGTTTACTATACAAAGGGCAAAATCTGTCTTGTCTTGTCTTTTACCTCTACTTGACGGTATTTAGAGTCTTTGTTTACTGTACAAAGGGCAAAATCTGTCTTGTCTTTTACCTCTACTTGACGGTCGGAGGAGATATTTCAAACTTACCAAAAGTAAAAAAAAAAAATCTAAATTACTGAATTGAATTTTTAAAATTTTAATAGGATTTGAGAGGTCATTAATGTATGTGATGACCGACTAACCTGACCACGTCACAAGATGGTGCTTTATCGCACATTGTAAGAACTTTAATTGAATTTACCTACAACTGCACAGTGCTGACTGCAGAGGCTGCGGAGTGAAGGTGGAAATCAAACGCAATGCATGTAAACTGACATAGCAACACTATGTAGCATTGGAGCCATTGGAAAAGAAGAAAGGTGAAGCCCAGGGTAACAATGGCTGTATATTAGCATTTTTTGTTTGAACTAACTCTTGGTTCTACCATTAAAAATATTCATATAAACATATATCAATACACATATATAAACATATTTATATACATATGTGTGTATATATATATATATATGTATATATCTATATATATATACAGACAGTATATATATGTTCTATATCTATAAATACATATATAAACATAGATTAGGGCATTTTTTGCTGGATAATATATTGTCCCAAAAACGTATTGCTGATAACCAATGTTATTTTGAGAGTTTACCACTAATGTAATAATAATATAGCATATGTCATATGCAAGTACACCCTTTTAAAAAAACAATATATTTTATTACCCCTAAAAATAATTATATATACAGTATATATTTATTAAGGGCTGTCTAGGGTTGGGGGTTGTTGCATGTAGTGAACTACACTTACTCTGTATATGCCTGCTTACAGTACATACAACCATAAACGTATAAAAATGCAGATATATTTGATATAAATGCAGATAAAAAATATTTTTCTTTTAAGTTACGTTTTACTCATATTATGACTTTCCTTTCAGGAAAAAAAAAACTTTACCCATCTCTCATAGTTTTTGTTCTCAAATGAAAGAATTGCCTCACGTATCTTAACACATAAAGTGTGTAGCTTTTTGAAATTTCCTTGTTTTCTACAAAAGCGCAGAGGAAACTATTGCTAAAGGTTTCCTCGAAGGAATAATAATTTAGTCCACATCTGTATATTTCAACTGGACATGTTTGGGGGCATTGTCCACAAGAAATATTTGCACTCAAAAATTTGAGCGAGAAATGCCAAGGGAACAAAAGGTATCTTGTGCTGCACGATCATCATGTACCCATGACAACTTACTATTGAAGGGGTTGTTATTGGTCTGCAGCCTACAAGTGATGGCCTCGTTCACATCCTTCTTCTTCACACACTGTATGCCCAGGTTCTGGAAACTGAGAGGAAGATAAAAGTCAAACACCACATTAACCAAATCCATTTCCGTTGCTCTTTCATAAACAACAAATGTAGCGATGAATGTAACGAAGACTTTATATCAACAGTTTAATCTTTCTGTGGCCACCACATCATCCTGCTACACATGCTACACCAAATCATTTGCTCCATTGACCCACACTGTAATATTTTTTGTACTTCCACTATGGTCTTCACTGTTCCGATAAACTCCACCTTTCAAAATAATAAACCCTCGTCTCTACGGATCACTGACTACATCCCTCGTTTGAGAGTGGAGTAAAAATGGGAAATAAATTATGACTATAGATGAATGTTCTAAACAGAACTCATGATAACAAGTTGGGTTGTCAAAACTTAACCGGCCAATCACATTAATTCATTCTTGAGCAATGTCACACATCTGGTTATTGCACCTGCTATTTACTTGGCGTTCTAATTCACAGTCCACACACAAATCAAAGTCAATGTCAAAGTTAACTTTATACGTGTTAATATTTGCACACACTGCAGGAACTCCAATGCTATCTGCCCTGATAATGTGCACTTCCTTCCAGTAACTGTTGCTAACAGTTACCACTAAACTCCAGGTAATTATATAATTAAGCACGATTCTCATAGCAAAGATTTTTTTTTCTTCTTCACAAACATTAGTTATTATCTTTTAGAAACTATATATTTAATCATCTCCTATCATTCATTTAATAAAAATACTGATAATAGTTGATCATATCCAATTTATCAAGTTATACTGTAATAATCACATTCTTTTCCTGCCAATCTGTAGAGATGTGTGTACATTCTCATCATTGTTGTATCACTCGACAACTTTTTCGAAATGAGAGAAATAGACATGGGACTGCCCGGCCAGTAATTTAATTTTTAATAAACTGTTATGCTGCCCAGTCCTCAGTGAGCATTTGTTTGCACGTTGCTGTGCTGTAAATTAATGCGTGATGAGTCGGTTACATCTGTCATTTTGCCTGCCCTCAGCGCGGACTTCAGAGGATAACTTTGCTAAAAAACGTTCTGTGCTTTGTTTCGTAGTGGCACGTCACGTTGCCACCGTTAATTAATGCTCTTAATTAACGGTGGCAACTCTTCCACTCTGTCTTGGTGCACTGGCGGTGCAGGGTAAACACATTATTTGATTGGCTCCCGCTGGATCCACCATTTGCTTATTCACGTTAATGTTCAACTTGCTCTAGCCCAGTGGTTTTCAATTTGATTTCTGTCATTCCCCTCCCCCTTCCGACCCACACTGCTGCGAATGGAAATACTACTGAGAACCTGATAACCTAAAACAGTATATTTTATATATTTTTATCTGTACAAACCACTGTATAAGTTGCTGCCACCTAGTGACTGGAGGCTTGTTATCCTTCAAGCATTACCGGGGGGCCCTCAGTACTATTTGAGAAGTACTGCTCTAGCCTCAGTACCACTAAAACTATCAACTTCTTCGAATGGTTGGTAAGTCGTGTACCAGGTGACAAAGTTCACACTTGTGTGCTCATGTTACTATGAAAGGTGTGAAACAGCCTCATCTCCAGGCCTGTTGCAGGCAGCACATACCTGTGTATTCGTCTCTCCTGCAAGTCGGCCTCATAGTAACCGTGTTTGCAGTCCTTCCCAACCAGTTCGTGAGGGTGAGGCTTGTGTGGAGCATTCTTTGTTACCAGTGAAATGCGAACACGCAGAGGGCCACTGTAGTTGTGCACCTGCGGGAACAAGTGAGTGTCGTAACGTACTGATTTTTAAAAAAGCTAATTCATAAACACCATCAAATACAAGGTTCACTAAACTAACATAAGCAAAATAACCAGTCTTAAGAAATTCCTAAAGCACAATTTGTTTTGATGCATCGAGTTGCTTTTTGGAGGAGTGTGTCATGGAATTTTTTGTCGAGTCAAGCCATTGGTGTTCAGCTATGTCAGAAGTAGAATAGTGAACAATGATGTATCAAGTCTATGGTGAAACAATACTGGCAGAACTCTTGTCTTATTGTTTGTTGTTGTTGTTTTTTTTAAATTCTGTAGGTGTACAGTCACTCCCTGTCTGGACCGAACACTCCTTCATATATTATATGAATGATATTTTAACATTTTTTGCTGGACACAGCAGCTCATGTAAATCTTAAACATTGGTTTTTGTTCTGTTTAATTTGCTTAATGCAGTTATTAAGGTCTAGTGCCAAGACAAAAAAAAAATCAACAACTGAAAAATGTCAATGCACATAATATACACACGCAGAATTAGACCAATACATTTATCCAATCCAGTATGCGTGTTAAACTCTGGTGGGCCACATATGATGAGGTGTTGGGCCGGATTAGGCCAGCAAGCCTTGAGTTTGTGACTTAATGTATAAATCCTTTAAAACAAATTAAAGGAAATTCCACTCGAGGTAGGATTCTAGATATTCTGAGCAGACCTTTCATTAACCCTAACCCTAACAGTTGGTTTTTACATGAGGCTTTTCTCTCTGCTGCCAACCTAACAGTTGGTTTTTACATGAGGCTTCATTCAATTCTATATATTTATTTGGCTCTGAAACTACAGCATATAGTATAGTCACTAAATATTAGGTTCTACTGTATCATGTTTTTTCTTCTTTTGAATACATTCTATCTTAAACAGACAATTTTAATGTAATTTCTATTTCTTGATGCAAAAGCAGCAAGGTTTCAGGACAGTATTATGGTGTTGGTGACATCCAATAATGCACTTTACTATCAGATTTATTATCATAATACATGTAAGTGAGAATGTGTATTGATTTTACTACTATTACTACTTTTACTTTACTACTATTACTTTACTACATGTAAGTGAGAATGTGTATTGATTTTTGTAATATATATCAGCCATGCATTCATTCTGAACTGCAACCATTTGTTTGCATCTTGTCTGCATCTCTGCTCATTTTTCTGTCTTAGTCTCTCAGTTGTGTCTCCGTCTGTTTCACTCTGTCTGTGTCTCTGTCTATTTGTTTGTTTGTGTCTCTGTGTCATTGAGCCTGTTTCTCTTCGTCTTTGTTTGTTTTTTTCCTGTCTTTGTGCCTGTTTCTATGTCTCTGTGTCTGTACATCTTTGTGTCCATGTCTCCTTGTAGAGTCTGATGTAGAGATAAGGTGGAGCTGAGATATTTGCTGACATAATACATTTTAAACAAATACTAGGGGTGTAAGAAAATATTGATACACTGAAATATTGCAATATTTTGTTTCACAATATCATTTTAATATTCAACAGCACTCTATCGATTTTTGATTTAACAAATAACATGCAAATATTCATGGTGTTGGTTCATTTTATTTTGCTTTTATTTGCAAATGTAGAGCCCTCTGTTCCAATTTTAGCAACCTGTTAAGCATGTAACAGACCGCTACTAAGTAGGTTTTTTTTTTCAACCTCTCTTTTTTCTGAACTCATTTTTTCAGTGTCCCAGATTGAGGATGTACAAAAAGTACAAAATACCACTAGTGCAAATGGGAAATTGTGCCGCGTGTTCTGTCTTATTTAAAACAACTTCAAATAAAAAAGTGTTTTTAAATTAGTAAAACGTCTTCACAAGGCAACAGTAATTTTGAGGAAAAAAATGGAGTTAAAAAAATTATGTTAATATATTATTTTTTTATAATAGCTGTTATTTAATATGTAGAATATACAGTATACGATTACAATACAAAAGTGCAAAACTTGGTTTCTTGCTTTTTAAGTGTTAAAAATCAACAAATAAAACTAAAAACAAACCATCTTCAGAAGTTAATTCCATAGACTTACCTTGATTGCTGGATGAGTCTTAGTGGTGTCGTTGCTCTTCTCTCCGGGAATGCTGCCCGCTGAACGTCCCTCACACTTGTACCTAAACCTCATGCCCCTCTGCTTTGGCTGCTCAATAATCTCGATGTAAGGGGTTGTTTGTACTGAGGTGCGAGCGAAAGAAGAGAAAAAGTAGAATGGGAGTTTATTAGATGTTGTGTTACTTACTTGTAGGGTTCACAGTGTTTAGATTGTAGAGCTTTATCTCAATCACAGTGTGTCAACACATGCCAAGCCCTGTCATTGGCTAATGGTGTGGTAATGTTTGCTCATGAAACGTCTGCAGTCTGTATCAGAACTGATTACATTTGCGGGAAAGAGCTGCTTACCTTGGTTCAGCGGGGTCAAGCCCCATCCATACACACCTGCAAAAAGCCAAAAGAAAATTAGTCCATTCATTCAGCTAAAACCCTTTACTTTTTTTTAACCATGCATGGCATCAGTGCAGAAACCAAACATGACCTTTATGCACATACTTGTGGTCTGTCTAATGTTTGTCTAGCTTTGATTTGTTGGTAAAAAAAAAAAATCCCAGTCGGCCCAAGGAGGTCAAACAACATGGAGATGCTTGAAGTAGCAGAACATAATTAATCATGAGACACTGAACTGCTTGTCAGGGCTCATAGAGAAGAAGTTGTCCAAATTGAAAGCAAACAAAAGCATAGAGGGTGCGATATTAGTCTCGGATTACCCTTCTTGTTGTGGACAGCCTCTGCTGAGAACAAAAAAGCAACTCTCCTCTTTCAGGTGCTCTGTTAATTTGTTTTTTCTTGACAATTCACAGCCAAGTGAGGGGTGACACTAGAGCTGATGGTCAGACCTCCACCCATGTGTAGCTTCCCAGCTATTGTAGCGCCAAAGGAGGGCTAGGATTCTTTGTAAGCTGTAACACGTCCATGTACTTGGTTCAGACAACATGTGAAAACATCGAGGACAATTGGCTGTTTACCTTTTCTACAGTGTGTGTCAGATACACCTAATCAAAGGAGGGCATCTTAGTTTGAAACGCAATAGTGTAAAAAAAAAGTGGTGAAAGTGAAAAGAACCGTCTCTCACTCTCACTACCACCAAGTGTGTATTTACAAGACATGTTTTGTTTTTAAGGTCAGAGAAGAGTGAATCACTGCCTCACCATACTGTATGTTCCGTGCTTGTTTGTCTCTGTCATTGTTTACTTTTTGGTTGATCAATAACTACAGTCTATGATCCAAGTATGAAAATACGCGTTTTTTTAAGATTTTAAGTTTAAGTTATCCTAGTGGCTGAAGAACCATACAACGATTTTATTATATGTGGTGTACTGTACTATTATAACAATACTTTTTTTCGGATTGTAGACTAAATGAAAGCGACACTGGCAAGAGATACCCCTCAATTCGGGATACACATTGGCAAGATTGAGAAGTTTAAAAAAAACAACAATCGACGAAAAGAAAAAAAACAAGGAGCGTAAATTTCCACCCGTTAAGGTTGAAGTGGTAACTAGCAGCACGGACGGATTATCCTATGGAACAAATGAGACTGAATGAAGCCGAAACAAAGACAGCATTTTGACAATAAGTGACGAGGTTTTATATCGACAAAAAAAACCGTGTACACTGCTAAAAAGGACATAGAACAGTTAAATGTGTAAAATTTTCAGACGAGTTTGGCTTGTGGAGTCGCTACAAGGAAACTCCATGGAGTACACAGGGGCTTTTACACGCAACACTTTGGCTGAGTCTTGTTTGGGGAAAAACATTATTATAATGACAGCAGAATGTATAAACAATGGGAAGTAGTAAATATGAGGTACTTAAGTCGTAATTCCGCCCCGTGCGATGTAGCTAAAAGCAGACTCATGTTAGCAAAGGCCAGTCAGTGGTGGCGGGGCTTTCCCCTGTGCGTTCAACAGCTCCCTGTACAGTTTCACCTCCACTCTCTGCTCTGAGTAAAAACACTGTGGACAAATGAAAGCGACAACTCTTACCATCCATGGCTATGTCCGAGTCACACTCACGCTCCTCTTTATCCTCTTATTGTTGTATTTGTTAGCTCAGCGACGGTGCAGACAAGAGGAACAGAGTGCAAAAACTTCTTGACAGTGCTCTTCTGTCGCCCCTTCGCTCCACCTACATTTGTGTACCACACTGTCCGGGAGGTAAAGCTGCACGGAGCTACGACAGTCCGCACGATTTCCGGTAAGGACAGCAAACAAACACATCATGTGTTTGAGAATCATTTGTACTAAGAACCTTTGGATTTATGCAATTCTGGTAAAGTATGTTTGGTGAGTTCACTTTTTTAGACAAACTGTTATTATTGTGTTATTTTTAGCGAACTATCTTACAATATTTAATATACTCTATTCTCCAAAAGTATAGTAGAAAAACTTTAACTGGGACAAAACAATAAAGTTTTCAATAGTAATCTAAAACATTTCAACTGAAAATAACAATGAGGTTTATTTGCCAGATTGACCATTGAAAAACATACTAAATGTTTGAGCTTTGAAATTTAAATGCATCCTGACATATATATAAAGACTAAAAATATAAAGAAAAAATCTTTAACACAAATACTTGTTTAACACAAATATGTGTCAGAATCTGAGAGATCAAGAAGACTTTACAATACAGAACAAATGTTGAACAGAATAGAAATGACATGATATCTTAACTATCACAAAAAGAGAAGTATATTAAATGACTTGACAGTTTATTATTGGGAAATCAAAACTTTTGAATGAACATACTGGAACAGGAAATGCCCTTTGCCCCTGTGATTGTTTGTGTACTTGTTATATTTAGTACGTCCTCTCCCTTAGTCATAGATTTTTCAGAAGCTTGTGTTCTGCCTATTTTGAAATATTGCCTTGCGTATACACGGGTATATTTATTCGTTCACTAACAAAACCAAATAAATAATTAAAGTGAAAAATAAAATGTTATAATGACATTTTGTCCCAATTAATGTGAAAATTAGCACATTACAGGAAGCCAACAGCATTAAACTTTCACCTTCTCTGGGGACCAAGTACCGAGTTCCATGACTCTCTTTTACTTTTCAAAAGTAAAAAACTTAGAGTTCTAAGTTCTAAGACTGTGTATAGATTTTTTTTTTCTGGGGTGTTTTAAGAAGTGAATTGTTGTCTACGACAAAAGCCCTGCTGTTATTTTGAAGACCCGTTAGGCGTTTCCAGTGTCGGCTTCTGTTCAGCTTGACTAGGCTGGAACTTTCTGCCTTTCCTCTGCACTGCAACTCTCCACCGCCCACACAAAACAGCGCGGAAATACCCAGATGACGCACTTGAAAGCAACAAAAAGTAAGTCGTGAGTGGGAGAGGCTGAGGCACCAGCATAACTTCGAGCTTTAGTCATAACCTGGCAGCCACTTTGAGGCCGGATTCATCTCCTACTCGGACACAACTTTGTTCTCACGGTTTTGCTTTCTTAAATGTGAGAGAAATAAACAGAGTAAAACACAGCAGTAGTTGCTCTGCTTTATAATAATCTGTAAATCAGTAATGACTCTTTCGCACACTAACCCACACGTGATATGACCTACATTCAGTGGGAGTCATTTATCAACACCGAGTAGAAAGTGACAGCAATGTGTGTACTTCCTGTTTTCAATACATTAAGTAATGTATATGTCTATGCTTTTTGTTCTATTTTTTAACTGAATTCGTTTAATTTAATTTATAAAAACAGTAAATACTTTTTTCAGAAGCAGTAATGTCGTAAAACCAGCAGAGGGTGCTGTAGGTGAATACATTGATAGTCTACATCGTTGATCAGCTTTTATTCTTTCCTTCTTTCTTTCTTTGTTTGTTTTTTTTCTTTTCGCCATTTTTTTCTTTTTTTTCTTTTCTTGTCTTCTTTCTTATTCTCTAACGGGAATTTAAAAATGTCTACCTGCAGTTACTCGTAAGGTTATTGTATTGTCAGGTTATTTGATCATTTTAGAAGTTTACATACAAATATTTATGTATTAATGTATTAATGTATGTATTAATTTATGTATTAATTTTATTCACAAGTTCCATTTCCTAAGGGGCGATTGCTTACCATAATTAAATTTCTATCATCCCTCAAATAAAGGTTTGTTAGTTGTAGGGTTTGTTTTTTAACGTATTTGTGTTTTTTTGTAATCCTATAGGATATAAATAAATATGGGTGTGTCAATGGCACAAATATCACAGCTTTTAGTGTTTTTTGTTTGTTTTTCTGTCCTACTAATTTGTGATGAAGAATAAAACAGATATAGGATAGTCTTTTTTTATTGTTGTTGCAAAACAAGGCAGTGCAACAAAAGGTCAGCAAAAATTTCACAAAATGTTGGAAACTCTGACTAAATAGTAACGTACCTACAAATGAACATCGGACAAGTATGTACACGTATTAATAAAACAGGAAGAATATAAAAGATAGGTGCATATTTAAATGGCTCATGATGCTGTAGATTACGGTCATATTAAAATACTGTACAAAGTCAACCTGAGAAGAACAGTGACCTTGAGTGAATTTTCTTTGCAAAACAATACAGACTACAAGTCATTAAATGTTTCCCCTCGTTTCTGTAATGCAAGCTCTAGAAATTCGAAGGTTACATGAAGGCTTCACAGTGGTTTTAAACGGGATGCCAGTGAATGGGAGGAGGATGGTGGTGCGTTCACAGTACCGAGGCGGGGCCTTCACTGCCTGCTCCAAACCAGACTGCGGAGGGCACAACTGTTGTAACAGAAATGGCGGAGGGGGAGTTGGACGTCGACTCGCTGATTTCCAGGCTTTTAGAGGGTAAGTTTGTGTTCATTTGTTAGCCATTTTGTCCCGATGTTTGTGCCGCTGGTCCCTGGGTGGTGTTTTATGTGTCGTTGCGATGCAAGCGGACGAGTAAAGCGGTGGCTGAAGTCGCTCACGTAGACCGGGGCTGGTATGAAGAGAAGTCCCGTCAGTCTGTTTGTAATACGACTCACGGACACACCTTTGACAGCGGTCGCCTCTCGACTTATTTCTTTTTATAGCTTAAGTTTCACCAACTCGTATTTATAACACTTTTCATAAGATACATTACTAAAAACTGTGATTCGCGGGTCTGTGGGGGTAAATTAGTGGAGGTAAAAGTTGTAACTGCAGGAATGTTGACGGAGGAATGACCCCCAGAACAATTCCTCAGTAGCGTTTACCCGTTGGCCCTGATTAAATGTTGTAATAATTCTTTTTTACGGGATTACTGACGTCATTCCATTGTCATTCGCGACACGAAACCGTACCTACAGTACGTTGCTATTCATCATTCATGGGGCAAAGTCAGGGGGAACGGCTGTACTCTGCTTTTGCTTTTCTAACAAAACACACCAAAATGGGCGGTAGTTACGGTGCACTTTAAGTCCCCAAAGTTTATATTCTCACTCAAACTAACAGCAGCTCGGTTTAACGTATAAGCCAAGAACTTCACCTCAACTTCCCGATCTAAAAAGTCGCCGTTTTAGTTTTGTTTTAATTGCCTTATGTGGGGACAAGGGAAAGTGGCACTTTTTAAAAAACGGTTTTGTGGTACAATTCAGTTTTAGCTAAATAAAGAAGTGCTCTACAGTTATTACACGTTGAACTGTATACTAGTTATGATGACTAAAAATTAAAAAAAAAAGAAAAAGATTTTTAAACACATTTTTAAAATTAAAAAAAAGATTTTTAAACACATTTTTAAAAGCCAGTTATTTCGAGAATAATTGATACACTTTAGTAAAATGTATTACTGAAACATTTGACAGTTGACAGACTGTTAAAACGAAACGTTTTAACAGTTGATGCCAACAAAATTTGTTCTGGTTTCTCGATTGGCATGTGGTCTTATAGCAGATTTGGGTACAAACATTGGGTATTCAAGTGGTTTTAACCAAAAGCCTTGTCATTACATGAGTTACCACTTTGTAAGGAATTTTTCAAGATTTGATTTAGCAGCAAACGATGAACTGGTGGTCTCTGAGAAAGGATAAAAATAAAAGGTATCACCATCTACAGCAAACATTGTTGAGAGAAGTTGAAGTAAATCTTTGTCTTAAAGCCAAGCTAAAACCCACTGCTTAATGTGCAAGACATTTCAGTCTGAGGGGGGTTCCTTGAGAAACAACCTTATATGGTCCAATATATGGTCTCCAGCCCTGAACCGGTACACTGCATGATTTATTTCTAGTCCATTTTATTGGCAGAAATGGAATGTGAAATTGTTTAACTGGTGCTTTCATCACTGTGTTAAGGGGCACTGCCCTATTTTTTTTAAAGATGCCTAGAGATGACAAAATATATATATACATCTATATTTTAAAACATCACATATGCATTTAAAAATGCTTCTTCATTGGTTAGGTCGCGTGGTGCTCCACTAAAGTAACCTCTGTACTTTCGAAGAAAGCGCCGCCGTTGCCCCAGCACCACTGTTTATTGTAAGGCAGCGGTGGGTGACATTCTTAGCATTGCTAAATAAGGGATGGTGACAAAAGTGCGCTGATCAGTCTGTCATTCTCCTTCAAATTTGCCGACAGAGTGTCCCTCTGTTTCTTTAGAAAACATGGTACGGTGAAGGCAGAATTGGATAAATAACAAGTTATTATTGGTTATCTCACGCACACAAACATACGCTGATTCAGCATGCTGAAATTACCACGCACTACCACTAAGGCTAAGTCCATTCCTCTAAATGAATAAGCAGTCTGTGTGCACCATCATGCCAGATAATTAGAAGGATTAATTGGGTTTAGTTGCATAATAAAGTTTGTTTGGTTTTGTGTGTGTCATCGGTGCAGCTGTGTGAGGGTGTGTGTGTGTTTGTATTTTTGACTAGGCTGGAATATACTGAAGTTGCTAAGCTAGCTTTAGTTTTTTTTTTAAATTTTTTTTTTATCTCTCCAATCAGTCGAAGACAACCTGTGTGAAGGGAGTTTGAGGGATCTGGGTGTAAAGTTTTCCAGATGTGAGCTGTGAATGTGTCCAACCATTTGTCTCCTTCCACCTGCTGCAGCTTAGGTGTGAAGTGACCTTAGGAAGACGAAATGTTAAAGTTTTTTTTCTGCTAAAACAACAAGACCCTGGGTTCACTCATTATCCCTGTTATTATCACAGGAAAACTATCGACTGTACAGCTGAAAAGTTGTTGTTAGTGTGGCATGTTTGCAGTTTTTTTTAATTATAATTACGGAAGCCCAATCCAATAATCACAATCAGTCGCATATTTTTCCCATTCTAGTTTAAATAGCAAATAACGTGTTGGCCTTTAAGGAACCAGTCCCATTCTAGTTTAAATAACGTGTTGGCCTTTAAGGAACCAGGACAACCGATTCCTTTAATGAGTTAATAGAATTGAAAGCTAACAGGGCCTTAGTATCACAAGTTGTAATATGCAACACACATTTCCAAAGTTAACATCCACACTTTGAGTTAAACTGAATAGAAAAAAAGTTTGCTTTTGAGATTGTACAAGTTAGATTTCATCAAAGCTCAGCTAAGCTAAATCTTGCTTGTCTTTCAGCTCTGCTGACAGATGTGAATCTTGTGACTTGAAATAATACCACCTAGGTGTTTTTCTTCTATAGTGAATATTTTAAGAGGATGTCCTGGTCACTTGCAGGGAGATTAAATATTTTTTGTAACCCGTCAAAATATATATATGGGGAGGACAGACACAATAGATGCAAATTGAGCAGTAACACTACATAATAATTGTAAATGGTGCAACAACGTATGATTTTATATCAGGCTATATCATGCAATTGGTGTGTGGGCACCAACAATGCTGTTACATTTTATCCATACCGAAATAAAATAAGAAGAAAGGTGGGACTATTTGTTCTTTGTTTTATTTCACTTCACCTGACCAGAAACAAAATTAGTAATATGTTGTCAGGCATTAGTAATGTTAAGAAAAATCAATTCTTTACTCATTAAGTATTACATCATACGGAAGACCTTTTGGGGTCACCATGTTACTAATGCTGCTACCAAACCGCTGTGTCAGCATTTTAAAATAGGAGTTGCATTTTATTTTGGGACTTCTTCATACAACACAATGACCTCTTGCTTTATTTACCAAGACCGTCTCAGTTTACTCAAACAGTTTCCATCCATAGCCCGTTAACATTTAGCGGTTTACAAGGGAGCGTTTTCCTCCCGCCCCTTCTTTTCTCAAACTTCAAAATGCTTGGTTTCAACGGTAGTATGGATTTCTTCTTCCATGGACCTTTTGTCTCGGGTCCAAGGAGGGAAATCCTCCTCTAAACTACTTCAACAGGTTGATCTTGTACTTTTTCCGCTGAGCCCCGTTACTCGTATACACACATGCGTGCGTATAAAGGGAGCTCTGATCTCTAGCTAAATGTCAGCAGGCACAGCTGTTCCTCCTAGAAATGAACACTCTTTACACTCAGGGCTACAGTAAGAAGTGAAATACTATAAAACAAAAGCCTTGGAGCTCAGTTGCTCTCAGTTTTTCTTTTGTATTTTGAAAATTTGGTTTAATGTGATTATTTATCAGCATTTTCAAATACTTTTTTAACAAAACTCAATATAGTGGTTCCCAAAACCTATTCTGCAGTGCCCCCCTCTTTTAGATAGTGAAGCCCCCATGTCAAAACAGCTACATCAGTTTCAGTATGTTCTTTATTTGTCACAGGAGGAAATTGCACAATTTTATAGTTGTTTTCTATAAATAGCAGTTTTGATGGGATTATTTGAAGCAATTAAATGTGTCTCAAACTTTTTCTATGGGGTTTTAAAGAAATTGCTGTGAATATGTAGATGGACAATATAGTATAATATAGTATATACTGCATATATAATTACTTACTTTGTTATTGGTGAGTTCCAAATGGTGGTCATTTGGTTACATTTTACCAATAGATAAACATGTAAATATTGATATTTACAAAAATAAACATTTGTCACACAACTACACTACTCTAAGGTTAGATCATCAAATGATTGTTTATGTTTCAAAGTGGGCTAATACACAATGTGTGTAGTCCTTATTAAAGTACATGACTCTACAGTACTCATCAGTGTAGTCATCATTTAACAAACTCCAAAATAATCAAATACTTGTTGCGTTATAATTACTGTTCCCTTTTCTGTTTGAACATTAACGGTGATGGAACTTTAAAGTAATGCTCACTTTATCCGGACTTATAAGCTAACTTTGTTCTTGTGTTTATTGGTTACACAAACACGGGCTCTAAGCTGTTTGGTGCTACTACACTGGAACTGCCCTTTCACACATACACAGAAACAGCAATTAATGACACATGTAGGGCTGAAAACAAACGTCAATCTCCAGTTATACTGTAGCTCAAGAGTTTTTTTTTTGTAGTCTTGATAATGTTTCAATGATATTTTCTATGAATGCTACTGTGTCTACCACAGAAAAGATCAGAGCTTTAGATTAAAATAAAAGATAGAGTGCGTTTTTAAAATGTGTTCGCATCAATCTGTGACACCAACCAGTCCATCCTTATGTTCACACGCAGACTCACGTAATCAGTTCACATGTGCTTCATAGCACATGTTGTTGGAGTGTCCCAGAGGTGTTGTCCGACAGACAGGCTAAACCTGATCGACTGACGGCACGATTTACAATTGTCGCAGTCTAGTCTGTCTGCCTGGGTTTCATGACTCTCCGGTGTCATTTGTCTCTGTGTTGCCTTGTCACCAATCTACTGAGTCACTGCTGAGAAGTGAGTGACTGCAAAACATGTGGAAATGTTCACATAAATACTCTGCGTGATTTACATAGCACCCTGACACAT